GTTACAGGAACATATTGAATATAAGAGAGAAGAAGAATAGATTAGATTTTCAAATTAATCTTCTTGCGTAATTGTTGCGCATTGGTTTGGTGCATTTTGGTGCAACTTTTCTGGTGGAGGGTCCCTCGAAGGCTTCATCTCGAATGTTTCAAAGTATGGCATTAAACCTTTCTATCTTCATGGAGACCAAACAAGACCAAGTTACAGGTCAGATCTGTGGAGATGCGACCTCACTCAGAGTCAAAATGTCTGTTTTTTCTAGGTAGTTTTGAGCTATAAAACCACCTGTAATTGAACAAATGTAAGGTAGAGCTGTTTATTGTCATACTGTGGAAGATTCCGGGCAGAGCAATGACACATCCATAGAAATTGCTTAATTGCTAATCTTGTTCTGTTCTTGTTCTCCACGTCAGCAAGCTTCATTTTGAAAGAACATTATGGTCTATTATTCACACATTGTACTTCCTGAAAATACTCCGCAGTACTCTCCGTCCCTATGGAAACGGGGCTGAGGTCTCTCCATAGAACACAGCGGATAAGTATAAAGAAGTAAAACCTCTGTAAGACACTGGAGAGGTCTTCAGGCAAAAACCGTGTTCAAAGTGCGTCTAACCCCCCGTCCCAGCAGGCACGCGCTTAAAGACCCAGATTTTCACTCGGAACGGAGATCTCCACGGATACGGCGCACAGATGGTCTTTAAAGCTACAGTGCGGAACTTTCTGGGGGCTGAACGTCACCTTCTTGAGTCCACGGAAAGTTAAAATCCTACTTTGAAACATTCTCCGTGGGGATAGAGAAGTTTTAAGCCAAACTTGAATATTATAACCAAAAAAACAAAATTTCCATGGAAGCAAGAGTGAGAGTGCTCATAGTAAAGATGCATGTTTTTCTACATTTTTCAGTGCCATAAAATGAAAATAAATCAAAATAAAACAGAAAAAAAACAACAACATGCTTTTATTTCTGTATATTTCTGTCTAATTTTAGGCTAAAAAGTAAATAAAAATAAATTGGACATTGTAAAATTTAAGACTTCTTATTACAAACCACACTGTGTATTGAAATTTTGATAATTTAAAAATTCTCCAAATATTTTAGCACAGTTCAATTTGATAGTATCAACAAATCTCACGTTAAGATCTCAAAAGCTGCTTGAAATTTTGAAATAACTTTTAAAAATGGTTCCAAAATTCTTCCATTGTTCCACATTTATTTACTGTTTGTGGGTAGCGTTGGTTAATCAATAATTAAAGATGCTCTGTGTAACTTTTCTACCTGTTTGTCTCCATGGTGATGCTACTGCGTATCCTGGAATGTTCCCAAGTATGGTATTAAGCTTATTTATCTCCATGGAGACAAGTAAATGACAATACCAGGGCATGTTACGGGTCAGGTCTGTGGAAGGACGGTGATTGTAAGCATGTTTTTTTTTGAGCAGATACATTCATGCCATACTGTGGAACATTCCAGGCAAAAAATAACATCACCATGGAGACAAGCAGGTGGTCGACTCTCCACCTGAAAAGTTACACAGTCCACCTTTAAACTTTTTTTTTTTTTTCCTCAGTTGTCAGTAGGTTTGGTCCCATATGTTGTAAACAGTAATCAGAAGCCCAGAGTGAGCGTCGTGACCCCGCGTGGCGGTGACGGCGGCGTCCTATTTTCGGTGTGAGTTTCAAGTGGGTCGGGTCAGACAGGTGCGCGTGTCATCATAATGAGACGAACAGAGACACGGAGGGCGCTGTGTGTGTTTTTTTCCACAGATCTGACAAACTTGGCGAGCATACCTGTACTAAAGCCCTACACTTTAAGGTGCACTGTGTAGCTTTTCTGGTGGAGGTTACAGGTGGTTGTATAACTCAAAAATACCTAGAAAAACAGACATTCTGAGTGTGAGCGGGGACGCCTCTCCACAGATCTGACGTGTAACTTTGTCTGGTTTGGTCTCCATGAAGATAGAAAGGTTACACAATGTACCTTTAAACTAAATATCTGGTTCTAAGCCTAACTCTAATTACCAGCACTATGCAGAGGCAAATTTGGTTATTGTTTTAAAATATTAATTCATTTTTATTTCATTATTTCATTTTGCCCTTTGACCAATTACACAATGATTGAGTTGATTTTTTTTTTGCCACACCAGTCGCATGCCCTACCTGTTGTAACCAGCCAAATGTGATGTCAAACTGTGCCACAAACTAGCAAGACTCTAAATAATAGTTGTAGATTTTAAAGCCTTTATAAAACTCTTTTGCCCAAAGCAGGTAAAAATAAAGCTTTATTTTCACATTTTAGTTGTCTTTATTACTCTGAAAAACACAGAAAAACCTGTCCTGACTGTGAGAGAGCTTGCATCTCCACAAACCTGACTCTTGTTTGGCCTAATCCTGCTTGTTTCCATGGAAATGTTGGAAATGATGGAGATAAATGCGTGTTGCGTGTTTCGTAGATGTTCCAAAGAGCGGTTTTAACTTCGTATTTCCATGGAATTATGCAGGTAACTTTCCACTTCCAGAAAGTTACATACTATCATTTTAAAGATGCACTATGGAATTTTTGCACTGGAGATATAATGTTTTTTGGTATTAAACTCTTCTATCTTGCATTAAATCAATAACAGGAGTTCTATTGCTAAAAATATACTTTGAAAACCACACATTTTTACTGTGAATGGGCTTGTGTCTCACAGATCTGACATCGCCTGCTCACCTCCATGGAGAAAGATTGCGGAACATTCCTGGCAAAGCATCTCCGTGGTGACAGGCAGGTGGCAGACCTTTCAGCAATTAATCTAATAATCATCTGATAGAAGATGTGTTAGAAGATGTATTTCAGAGCTTGTTCGTGGAGGTAAGAGTTTGCTATTTGTTTGCATGTAAATTCATATTAAACAAACCTCTGAGCCTTAGACATTTTATTACATACAAAAGCATCATAAATAAAAGGGATTAAACCATGCCATCCACCGCACATATCTGCAGTATTAAAGTGCTGTCCTCTACACAGCCCCACGTCTCCTCTGTCTCCTCAGAACAGTGACACTAAATCACAGCAGAGGCCCCGCCCCCTGTCTGATCAATATGACCCTCACAGCCCGGAGCAGAGGGCCCCAGTTTGTCTCACCAAATGGATATAGTCGCCTCCGTATAATAGCCTCTGTCGCTAATGGACATAGTAATAAGCCTACATGTACAGTGTGTGAGAGGGAACCCATTGGAATGAATGGAGAGGAAGAGTTAGAGCTCCCTCTATTGGGCAAACAGTATACAGTCCTGCATGAGAGAGAGAGGGGGTGTGTTTCAGGAGTAGATTCACTTCTAACGCTTTATAATGACTGCACTTTAATTAGTCTTAATAATAAAACAGACTTAACAAAAAGACTTAATTAATAATTAACAATTAGTTTATTAAGTATGTTTCAGGCATAGTAAATACTTAATTAGAGGGTCAGGAGTTAGGATATTCATTAATTAATTACTAAGCCTGAAACATTCTTAAAAGGCTAGTTGTTCATTATGAATTAAGTTTATCTGCTAATTTATAGTGTTTTATAGTAGCAACAGCTTATGAACATCGGAAACTACATATCCCATGATTCATTTCAATGCAGAAAACATGAAGAAATATGTTTTTGACTTGAATTCTTGGGATTATGATGGAAATAATTCACACCAAAATCCAACCAAAAGTGTTGTAAAAGCAAAAAAGTGTCCCATCTACAATGATATTAGCCTCTTCAAAATATCTCAACAAATATCGTGAGTATCGTGAGATTCATATCGTGATAATATCGTACCGAGAGATTTAGATATTGTTACATGCCTACTAATTTAATAAGACGAATTAAGGTGCAGTTATTATTTTAAAAATCTACCCATTAACTTTATACGTCAAGTTGTGAACAGATAAAACTGAATACTCTCAAACTGAAAACACTCTGTTCCAGGTTGTGATGTCATGTGGTGATACAGGAAGTGCTCATTTGGAATCATTTGGCTAGTTGCGATTCGTGACATCATAATGTGAAACAGAGCATTTTTCACTTTGGAGATGAAAACAGACTAAAAATAGACGGTTACTCAAACAAAACACAAGTCCAGATTCATATTTTTGTTGTAATTCAGTGAGTTCTTGGGTGTTGTAATGGATAGAAATGATCAGGTTCGACATTTGTGCATTTATGTTTTGAATATTTCCTGGCAAAGTATCTAATTTATCGGGAAAACTTATACTACTATTGATACTACTACTACTACTACTACTTTCGAACTGTGAACTGAACTACTGACACAAACGCGGCCATAATCTAATGTACTGACTGTAAATTGGCGTTAAACTACCCACATTTCCATCCAATTTGGCGACATCTCTCTTTCATAAACCTGAATTTGAATTTAGCCGTTAACAGAAATGAGCAGCCATCTTGTGTGCGAGCGTGTGTATCATGTTTAATTGAATGGCGGTACAGTGAGGAGAGAGTGGGCTGAGGAAGGGAGTAGGGATATTCAGGCTTTGTCAGGGCTCAGAGGGGGGCGAGATCTGCGGGGAGTAGAGGAGGAAGAGCCGTGCGGAGCTAGGTGGGCGAGTGAATAGAGACCGCACTGTACACTGTGGCTATGAGTATAATGGGGTTTGGGCCGGATCCAGATAGGATTAAGTTACTGCGGTGAGATATCCGTGTATACCTCCAGCCTGTAGTGTAGTGGCCTTATCTTCGTGTTTTAAAGGTCCTATATTACACAGAAATGACTCTTCTGAGCTTTAAATCATGTTACAATGCTGTTGCCTGGTCAAAAACAGACCTGGAGTTGTGTTTTGTTTCATTCACACGTGTTTGAGTAATCCTGGTTTATTAGTCTGTCTGCCTTTCCAAAGCTCAAAATCCTCTGTTCCATCGTGTTTTGAGAGATTTTGAGAGAAAAACTCAGCCAAAATATGCAGGATATGTGTGTTAAACATGTGTGAATGAAACAAAACACAACTCCAGGTCTGTTTGTGATGAGAAAACAACATTATAACGTAGATCAGAAAACTGTGTAATATAGACCCTTTAAAAATACTTCACTTCACTTCTTGTTGTCTTTCTTGAGTTCTTTCTTCACTGGTTTTGGCGGTTCTGACCTGGAATGGAGAAAAAACAAGTTGAAACAAATAATAGTTTTTTTCTGACCAATATAAATAAATACAAATACAAAATCTGTCAATGCTGAAATATTAACTGTCAATCAAAGGAGCAAAGATTTAACATACTGTATCTCTTAAAGCGTATGTGGCAGGTTAGACTCATTTCACTAAAACAGGGGTCTCTAACTTGTTGCTTAGGAGCTACCAGTAGCTCTTCTCCCCCTTCCAAGTAGCTCGCCAAGGAATTCGGAATTATACATATTCCACTAAATAACTCAAATTTGATTGATTAAATGCCTGTTTGCTTTGTTAATGTATCATTTTGATGCCTCATTTGTGCACTGATGACTGGATAATGGGTTATGTTTTATAGAAGTCTAACTGTACCTCATCTTCGTCTTACCATGGCTCTTATTTTTACAACATTTCTGGAGACTGCTAAAATTAGTAACTCTCTGGCATTTTCATTTTACAGAAAGTAGCTCACAGGAGGAAAAAGGTTGGAGACCCCTACACAAAAACATAGTTAAAGGTGCATTGTGCAGCTTTTCTGATGCTTTTCTCCATGGACATGTTATTGCTTTGTCTGGAATGTTTCCCAGTATGGCTTTAAAGTCAGAATGCCTGTTTTTGTAGGTATTTTTGAGCTATAAAACCACCTATAATTGAATACATGTGGAGTAGATGTGTTTAAAGTCATACTGTGGAGCAATGACAGGCAGAGCAATGACGTATCCATAGAAACAAGCAGGTAAAAAGTTACATAAAGCAGCTTTAACATCAATATTAGATTTCACTAAAAGCGGGCAGCAGGCATGGAGGTACTGTACTTCCTTAACTGTTACCTAGCAACCATAGTGGTAAATGGGCACATTTCTGTATAGCGCTTTTCCAGTGTACACAGACACTGGGGGTGAGGTGGGTTAAGTGTCTTGCCCAAGAACACGTATTCATTTGTGAGAGCTGGAATTGCACCGCCAATCTGTGGGTCAGTGATTCTGAAAACTTGAGAATTGTTTTTTAAAAGTTTCCCAAAAAACTTGAGAAATGACTTAACCAATTATGACGAGGGCAATGATATAATAAAATAACAGAGACAGGCTAATTTCTTCAGTAGAAAACATAAATAAGTGTAGACTATTATAATTTGACATTTGACACTTTAATAAATCAGAACAGCTTGAAGAGAAATATTACAGCATGACAAATTGTAAACAAAGCATTTTTATATAATTATTTGTGTTTACCTGGATGGTTTTGGCACCTCACTCTGAAACACTTTGAGCATCTCAGCTTTTACCATCTCCGGAGTGAGTTCAACTGGAGATGTTGTCGGCCTGAAACAAAACCAGTAAAAAAAAAAAAAAAACAAAAAAAACCTCATATTATCCCATGTTATGATATTTTCTGATCTATGTTATAATGTTGTTTCCTCATCACAAATAGACCTGGAGTTGTGTTTTGTTTCATTCTCATATGTTTAACACACAAACCCTGCTCATTTACTGCTGCAACACTCTGTTCCACCTTGTGAAGTCATGTGGAAATACAGGAAGTGCTCCACTGTGTTTTTAAACTCCATACACCTTCACTAGAATCATTTCAGCCCTGGAATTTCCTACCTCTGCTGAACAAAATGACATCACAAGGTGGAACAGAGAATTTAAAGCTTTGGAGATGTGGACATAGCTACCCCACTAACCACCACGTTCAGGTAGGGAGTAGCACGGGGGCACTTATTTTTCTAATATTTAATGTATTTGTACACTACCGGTCAAAAGTTTTAGAACACACTTTTTCCAGTTTTTGACATTGCACTCTGAAATGAAAGCACATAATATATAGGCAATTTGAGTTGAGTTATAGACCAAAATGTATTCTAAACTTTTGATTCATTAATTTAGCCACCTTAGGCAGATATAACAGCTGAACACACTCGTGACATTCTTTCTACAATAGAAATCAAATATTCTTCAGAAAGTTCTTTGCAAGCTTGTTGTAGAAGTTCCCATAAATGTGTGGCACTTGTAGGGGCTTAAGTCTGGAGACTGTGCTGGCCACTCCATGCTCTCAAGCTCACCATCTTGTTCTTTTTTGCTGAGGTAGTTTTGGCAGAGCTTGGACTTAGGTCATTATGTTTTTGCCTCTGGCTGTTCAGTACTTAACTTTGTACCATTTCAAGCTCTTCATTGGACTTGCACAACTTGAACTGCAATAAATAACTGGAAAAATTAGGGTGTTCTAAAATTTTTGACCGGTAGTGTATGTCCACATATGAAATATAAAACATTAATTTTATCTTTTAATCATTTTGATGGAATGCAGTAAAGTCACAATTGAATAATGATTTGCAAAAAACTATTGAATGCCTGAACAGCCCAAAATGTGTTGAACATATATGTCTACATATGTGGTCGGCAGGTCCTGGGAGGCTACAATGTTTGGATTAACCCTCTCTACATAAATTCCTATTCCTAATATCAACCTGGCTCCAAATTCGCTCCTATATCTTGGTCCTTAGTCGTTTTCTTTATACAGTTTATGAGACAGACTAATCATAAAGGATTACTTAGACATATGTAAACAAAACAAAACACAGCTCCAGGTATGTTTTTGATAAGGTAACAACATTATAACATGGTTTAAAGCTCACAAGAGTCAATTTTAGACCTTTAAATTACCCCCAAAAGCATGGAAATCTAAAGATAGCATGCTCTTACGGTTTGTCCTTCAAGTGGCTCAGCTCATCCGGCAGACTTTGGAGATAAGGTGCTTGAACAGGGAGGAATTCTTTATTGTAGCTGGACCTGGAACAAAAGAGGAGGACACAGGGATATTGGTTCAACAGAGATCAAAGAACCCAGCTTGTATAAACATCTTGGAAAAGATGTTGGAGAAAAAAGCATTCCCAAAAATCACTCTTGGCTTTGTAAACAAGACTCTGGCTACATGCACAATGGAGTTTTGATTATTCTCAGATTTTTTCATTTAAAAAACTATTAAAATGAAATGTAACCACCAAAATCATGTGGTTTCTTTCTCAGTGTGGTCCCTCTCATTACTCACATGGGAATTTGTGGTTTATGCCTAATTTAAATATTGTTAAATGTCTAAAAATGAGATTATAATCAGAATAGAAGCAAAAGCAGACTAAATAAACACAAATGAACTCTTTATGCGTCTCAGTACAAATGAAGGAGGTGGATAGGGCATCTGGTCTAATGATTCAAATTGATTGATTGCAGATTTGTTGTGTTTAATATCCCTGTAATCACTGGGCCTATCCACATGAAAGAATAACAAGTACAATGTTCAAGGCTTTCTCTGTCAGGATAAATAAACGCGAGCTGTAAGGAGCCACAAGATTAATATAGCAAGTTTGGAAAGCCAGTCAAAAAAATAAGTTTGGATATTTTCTCAAGAAAATCTCATAGAATTACTGTATATAGGCCTGTGCTCTCCATCTGTAATTAAATTCAAATTCTGGTACATGAACCCAGCCTGTTAGTCCGTCCATTTGACCCAATCAGCGGAGGAACAGTCAAGAGTATCTCCATATCTTCAACCTTCAACCATATCTTGGCCAGGAGCAGTACCTAGCTGGAGGATTTGCCAGTAGGCTTGATGGAAGGTTGCTAAAAATGAAAGTAAGCCATCCAGACACAGAGAGAACTTGCAAACTCCACACAGAAATGCTCCACCCAGTCTGGGAGTAGAACCAGTGATCTTCTAGCTGCACAACCTGTGGGAGCTGTAGGCGTTCGAACTCACTATCCCTGTCTGAATACAAACCAAAAATAAGTAGCACATTTTCAGGAGCTTGTGATCATGGGCTTGTTTAGGAGTTTGATTTTCAACTAAAAGGTGAGAGTGACTAACTGAAAAACTAGTTGTGACTTTAATTTGATGTGAGAAAGACTTGTTTAACAGCACAAAGCAGCTCTCTTTTTGTAATTCCAACTAAATCAAACTTTAATCTGAGCTTTGTTTGAACACAATTTGACCAGAAATAACTAACAAAGCCTCTTGCAGAACAGTGCCTACAGTTAGCATCATACCCCCAGGTAATGTTGATGACATCAGCTGCAAATTATTAATATAGCCAAAGAATTTTTACTTTTTTTGTATTTTGTTGTTTTAATTTCTGTGTGTATTATAAAAGAGTTGAAAATCAGCACTTTTGTTTTATAACTGTGTCTAACAGTATCATCCCAATCAAACCAATAAATAAAAGCAAAAACATTATAATGTTCAAAACCAGAGCTTACAGGTCACAGCGAGGGCTCTTCTGATATTACCACATGACATCACAAGGAGAAACAGAGAGTTTTCTGTTTGAGAGAAGAACGTGTGAAGGAAACAAACCACAACAAGATGAGAAAAAAACATTATAACATAGATCAGAAAACAGTGGAATATGGGCCCCGTAAATGTGCGGTTACATTTCTAGTGGAGGGTTGAACCTTCTTGTTTCCATGGAAATGTTGTTGCTTTGTCTAGAATGTTCCACAGTATAGATTAAACCCATCTATCACAAGGGAGGCAAGCAGGTTACAGCACTACTTTACATTACAATTCAGATCTGTGGAGAGTCGCCCCTATTCACAGAAGACACTATTGTATTTTTGAGCAATAGAAACATCAGTAATGAATAAATACTAGATGGATATGTTTAAAGTCATGCCCCTTTAAGGACTTGCCCTGCAGTGACTTATCGCAGCGCTAAAAAGCCGTAGATTTCCTGAAAGCAGCTCAGATATGACTGTACGCCGCCTCAGAGCCCGCCCTGACCTTTTCTACATCTGTTAAGAGAAAGTTCACTCTCCTCAGTCACAGTGCGCATCATGAGGGAGCGCAGCCATTGCCCGCTTGGCCTTTTTACACTTTACACTACGCCCCAAGGTACTGCTTACACAAGAGCCCCTTTACTCAACATGGTACATACAAAGAGACAACAACACACGACAGCTACGGTCAACACTATCACATCAACAGCCTGCGAAGGGGAAGTAATATGATTTTGTGTACGTGTGGTTTGACGGTGCTACTACACAATACTACTAATCTGATTTTCAACACGTACTAATACGATTTTAAAGTGGGGCTAAACATCTAAACTGCAGCCGTAACTGCATTTCAGATAGAGCTGCTAAACTGGGCAGTGCCTGGGGTGGGCCAATGGGACAAGCGCACAATGGTGTTTTGTTAAAATAAGAAAAAGTCAAGCATTTTCTCAGTTGGAATGAAGAGACAAAGGCTACTGCTTTCGAAATAAACTGCTAATCTCTTGGCGAATCTTGTTTAAAAGGTGAATTGTATAACTTTTCTGGTGCTTTTCTTCATGAAGATGCTGTTGCTGTGTCTGGAATGTTTCACAGTAGGGCATTAAACCTTTCTATCATCAAGTTACAGGTCAGATCTGTGGAGAGGTGACCCCGCTCACAGTCAGAATGCCTGTTTTTCTAGGTATTTTTGAACTATAAAAACCACCTGTAATTGAATAAATGTAAGGTAGAGCTGTTTATTGTCATACTGCGGAACATTCCAGGCAGAGGTTTGACATGTCCATGGCCCCTTCACCAGAAAGTTACACAATGCACCTTTAAGTGATTGGTACAAAGCACAATATAAACCTAAACTAGATGTTCTTAAGCTTTATGACCTTGGGGCCCGAAAGTATTAAACTCTTCTGATTTTACTGCTTTCAGGTGGGTGCTTGTGGTGCTACTTTGAACCTATGGTTAAGAATCCCTAGCCAAGCTGGCACCACAATGTCTCAATGCTCAATTTCATTTCTCTCCAGTGTCTAGGTCAGGAATCGGAATGCACTTGACGATTTGCAAGAACCCCGGAAGTTGAAGACCGTGCACTGGCCAATCAGTGAAGAGCTGTGAAACCATGACGTCAAACTCAAGCGCCTGTCTGGGTCCCTTTTGTGGTCCAGCACAGCAGTAAACAAAGCGGTCAAGATGGATGTAGACGAAGACAGACATTCTGTGTTGGCAACAATTCCCGAGATCAAGGATTTAAAGCCAGAACAAAGAAAATGTTTGATAAATTTTATCAAGGGGAAAGACGTTATTGCCCTTCTTCCTACAGGATTTGGTGCATTACATACGTCACGACCAAATAGCAGCGACTGGTTAAATAAAAAAGTACCCGCCTACCATTGAGCAAATGAATCCTAACGCTGTGAGGTCAGATGGTTTCCACGAAGTGAAACCGGCTGATGAATTAGGCTAAAGAATCACTGACCTAAACCCTAATATTTAGAGGAATGTGTATACTTAATCTGGTCACAACAAACAGTGATACTACTACTTCAGCTGTGATTACTGCAAATTAATACTTTGCTGTGACGCCACGTTGGGGGTGTTCTACATGCAGCTGAATGGTAGAACAGTTACCATGGTGACACAGTGCAATCATTAGCAAACAATGACAAAAAGTTTTAAGATGACACATTTTCAGGAGCCTGATCAAAATGTACATGTGGTTAGATTGTGTTAAAATAAAGCTCAGATTAAAATTTAACAACACTTCAGACAGAGCAGTGCCTACAGTTAGCATCGCACGACCCCATCACAGGAACGTTGCTGACATCAGCTGCAAAGTATCAACACACACGGCTACTCAGCAAGTCCATACTGTATATCATATTTGTATTATATAACAAATAAACGGTTTGTGTCTGTCTGTTGATATCATAAACCGTTTTCTTTCTTTTCTTTTTTTTCCTTTTTGTCCTTTTATAGAGTTGTGTTCTTAGAAAAGCAGAACATATAGGACCCACCGTGTTCAGCCTGGGGGGAACATGCACAAACCCTGACTTATTTATAGTGTCCATTTAGGCAATAGGCTGAATAAATCATTACAGACAGTATAGGATAGAGAATACTGGCCTAGATACTCCACTGGCCGGAGCTTTACCTTTCACCGAGTCATTACATCTGTGGTAGAAGAAGCTTGTTTCCATGGAGATGTCACCGCTCTACCTGAAATGCTCCACAGTATGACTTTAAGCAGCTCTACCTTACATTTATTCAATTACAGGTGGTTTTATACCTCAGAAATACCTTTAAAAACAGGTATTCTGACTGTGAGCAGGGGCGGCTTTCCACAGATCTGACCTGTAACTTGGTCTGGTTTGGTCTCCATGAAGATAGAAAGGTTTAATGCCATACTGTGAAACATTCCAGACAAAGTAGAAGCATCTTCATCGAGAAAAGCATCAAAAAAGTTACACAATGCAACTTCAAGTAAAAGTACAGATATCAGAGCAGAAAAACTCAAATAAAAGTCTCAGATGAAAAAGTTAAAGTATCAGATGAAAGAAATCGACTCAAGTAAAAGTATCAGATGAAAAAATCAAGTATAACGTAAAGTATAACAGTACATATTTAAAAACGTACTTTAAGAGTAAAAAGTAAAAGTATTTCACACAGATTCAAAGGTTCAAAAAGTATAAATTTTGATACAGATTTGTGCTAAATTTTGTTCAACTGAAACAATTTAATTTGTTGTTTTTTACTACCTGTTTTAATTTGTATATTTTTGTTTGCTCACATTATTAATGTGCTAAAATTAAACCCTCAGCCTTTAAAGCAGGTCTCACACAACCATGAAAAATACTTGTACTTTTGAGTCCAGTTATAAAAAGTGTAGAGGAGTAGATAGTAAAGATACCTGCTCTCAAATGTAGTGAAGTAAAAGTCAAAAGTATCACCTTTAAAATGTACTTAAGTAAAGAACTCCACCAGAAAAGTTACACAGTGCTCCTTTAGGTACAGTACTTTACTATTTTTACTTCTTCATCTTCTACCACTGCATCCACATTCATTCACGAAACGATGTGAAGTGTGAAAATATCTGAACAGCGCCCAGTTCAAATCATTTTCTACCCAGAGAGCTGAGGAAGTGAACAACAGGCTCTCTCCCTTCTATAAACATCTAGAGTAAACAGTGGTGACAAACCACAGATGCATTCGGTTTGACAATCTCTCCACTTGAAGTCAATTTCCTCTTTGGGAAAAATAGAGCCGAGAATGATGGAGGATTTGGAAGATAAATGCATTGTGGGTAGTGGTAGTAGTTTTGTACCTGCTCGGGAGTTCCATGTGGGTTTGAGAGCGATGTTTGGACAGACAGTTGGACAGAATGGTGCCAAAGTCTTTCTTCCAAGTCATTATCTCCTCAGCTACTTCCTGTTAACAGAGAAAATATAGATAGATATAGAAAATAGCAAATATCTGAGCTTTTGAAAGGGATATTACTCCATTTTGTGATCTGTTATAATGTTTCCTCATCAAAAACAGACCTGGAGTTGTGTTTTTGGATCATTTAAAAGTGCAGTATCATTCAAACATGTGTGAATGAAACAAAACACGACTCCAGGTTTGTTTTTGAGGATTTAACAAGAAAAAATGGCGCACAAGAGTAAATTTTGCGTATAGGACCTTTAAGTGTTACCTTGTCCATGAGGTAGTCCTGAGTGACAGCAGAGGCGTCATTAGAAGCTCTGTCAAAACAATAGGAGTTAAAATTATGTCAGCATTTCTCAAATTGTAGTACGTGAACGTGTGCCGACTACAGCGGTATGCAAGGTCATCTACAGTTCTTGTGTTTGTTTAATTTAGAAAAAGATAATAACATTTTGCCATCCTTTTTTATCTTTTCTCAAGTCCTGCTGTAGTTCCGTTTCAGACCAGATTTAGACCTTGTTTAGTCTCTTTTTTCCCCTTAGGTCCTTGGTGAATCATTGGTTTTAATAAAAAAAAAAAAAAAAAACACCAGTTGTGATTAGATGCATGAAGAGCACCACAACAGCGGCCTTTTTTTTACATCAATTTGTCAGGACATTCCCATACTTCTGAACTCATATTCTTGGATCAGTTCTGAGGAAAATCTGTGTATATAAAGTCCATTCACCACTATATATTCACTAGTATCATTTGGATATTTTCATTGTGTAAATTGCCCTAAACTAGCCCTTATGAATTTGAGCATTTTTTGGGGGTGTGGTGTTTGTCCAGCTGCTTCACTCCTCAGTGCACAAGCAGCTAAAAATCAGGACTAAGGTGCACTGTGTTCAAGTTATCCTCTGGGAAATATCAAAAAGTAATCTAAAAACATCTTCTAACTCACTGTTTAATAACTCCCACCCACTACAGATGCCATTATTTATACTGTTTATTTTGCCTTTCAGTGATCGCAATGTTATGTTTGCTCAGTGAAAATATATACCGTATGAGGAAAAGTTTGAAAATTGCATGTTAAAACTAGTTTACTTTTGTTGGTATGTCTGTTGTGGGCACAGGTAGTACTCAGGATAGCTTTCCAAATATTTCGGAGTTGGACGATGGGCGTGGAGTCCTGGAGCTGGATTCTACGATTAAAAGAGTTGGTAAGTTAGTTAGAAAAGTTATGATAAAAACAAATTGTGTAAATAGACTATGATATATATGAAAAATGTCTTACAAAGATGCGAAGCGGATGAGCTGGAGCAGGTTGAAAATCAGGTGCAGTGAATTTATAACTTATAAGATCTTTTAACTTTGGTTCCAGTCCTTCTGTCTTTTCCTCCTGGTATCAAATAAGACAGAATAATAAGTATATAAAGGCAAAAAGGGATTTAACTTGAACATTTTAAAATAGTAAATTAAAGGGCTCATGTTACTCTGTTTTCTGATCTGTGCTGTTTCGTCATACAAAAAACAGACCTGGAGTTGTGTTTTGTTTTGGTTCATTCATACATGTTTAACACACATAATCTGCATATTCAAACTGAAAACACTCTGTTCCACCTTGTGATGTCATGTGGTAATACAGGAAGTGCTCCACTATGTTTTTAAACTCTGTACACCTTCACTAGAATCATACGGATAATTTCAGATGTGAAATTGTCAATCTCTACTAAACTAAAGACAAAAGGGAGCTGTTAACTTGAAAACTATCACTTCATGACATCACAAGTTGGAACAGAGCATTTTGAGCTGTGGAGATGTGACAGACTAATAATAAAGAATTACTGAAACATGTGAATGAAACAAAACACAACTCCAGGTCTGTTTTGGAGGAGGTAGCAACCTTATAACATGACTTAAAACTCACATTTTGCAGATTATAGGACCTTTAAATTCTACATAGTTTCAGTTCAGTAATTTAATCTTGTGGTCTTACATGCTCAACAGCTTGACTCCCATGATCCTTTGCAGCGCCCTCCTCGGCTTCTTCCTCCTGGTGAAACAATGCAAAATGTATCCACAGCTTCTATCAATATTTGGTGATGTTGTTTGCTCACTCACTTCAGGCGGAGAGCGCAGCGGTCTGGCCAAGGTTGTGGGAATATAAGAAGTGTATGCATCTAAAGTTGAGACAGGTTCGTAGCCCATGAGTTTAAAGTGCTGCGGAACCTGGAATGAGAAAGTAGAAATATATTATAATGTAACTTCAACTGTAGATAAATGACTATTATGATTAAATGCAAAATTCTTACTTTCAGTTTGAAGAAGGGTACGCTTGTTGTTATAGACCATTCAGTAGGAGCAGCAGGTAAAGGAGACAAATCAAGTGCCTAGAAATATATTCATCGAGAAAGTTTAATTATTATTAAAAGTACAGTATGGAATGTTCTGGAAGTTGCGCGTCACCTGTATTATTCCACAAAAAAAGAAAGGTAAAACTACACTTTGGAACATTATTCATTTAGTTATGTTTTATGCAACACTGTGGAAGATGACTGACACTTGCTAATTGGAAGCACTACTCTGTTAGAAGCTCTCTTACTCAAGTTATACTTTCATCTGAGTTTTATTTTAACACAATCTGAACAGAAAGAGCTGACTTTGTTGGAACTACAACAAGTGAGAAGATTTGTGCTGTTTTTGTTTTTTTTTACACCTTTTCTCTTGAAAATCAAACACCTACATGACCATGGACTCTCAGATTCATCACAGGCTCCTGAAAGTGTGTTATTTAAATCTATTTTGTATATTTGTCTTGAGTTTTCAAACTTTTTTGTCTGTGTTTGCTAATGTGTGCGAGCCTGATTCATCAGCCGGTTTCACTGTGTGGAAACCGTCTGACCTCGCAGCATTAGGATTCATTCGCTTGACTGTAGACGGGTACTTTTTTATTTAACCAATCGCTGCTATTTGGTCGTGAGGTATGTAATGCACCAAATTCTGTAGGAAGAAGGGCAATAACGTCTTTCCCCTTAATAAAATTCACCAAACATTCTCTTAGTTCTAGTTTTAAATCCTTGATCTCAGGAATTGTTGCCAACGCAGAATGTCTGTCTTCGTCTACATCCATTTCGACCACTTTGTTTACTGTTGTGCTGTACCACAAAAGGACCCAGACAGACGCTTGAGTTTGACGTCATGGCTTCACAGTTCTTTGCTGATTGGCCGGCGCGCGGTCTATAATTTTCAGGGTTCTTGTAAAACGTCTAGTGTATTTTGATTCCCGATCTAGTCCCTGGAGAGAAATGAAATTGAGTGGAGGCACTAGGCAGCACCAGCTTGGCTAAATGTGTGCAATGTGTTACCATACTAACTACTCAACATTCCGCCAATAGAGATACATGTAGAACACCCCCAGCGAGATGTCACTGCAAAGTATCAATAGCCAAAGAAACAACATTTCTATGGAAACAAGCAGGAAGAGGCCCTGCTCTAAGCCAAATCAAAGTCAGGTTTGTGGAGATGCAAGCCAGCTCTGAGTAAGGACACATGCTTTTATCCATTTTCCATGCAATAAACACAACCAAATTTATTTAACTCTAATTATTTGGCTAAAAAGTTACACACTATAGTTTTAAGTTATTCATTATTACATCTAGTATTTGTTTTACACTAGCATGTCTATAGCTTCAATTCAATATGGCAAAACACAGGTAGCTAAAATAATGCATTTTCTAACAACAGCTGAAAAAGCAAGCATTATTATAACAGTGCTTATTGTAGTTTTGAAGCCGTAAAAATCGGGTCCATTTAAATAATTCAGTCCCTTAGCATTAGATGGTATTATAAAGTACAAGCACTCACCAGGGGGTCGTCCTCGGCTGAGAAAGTGGGGTGGGAGAATATGAAGAGTTTTTCTGGAGAGATCCTCGTACACTGCACCACTGCTGTTTCTGAAGCACAAAGGGATGTAATATATAAAATTCATCTCTAAAATGTAAAAATAGATATGGTACAATGCAACAGTAGCAGAGACACATGTGGTTTAATAGGACTAAAAATGTAATACTGTTTGAGAGGTTTTTATTGGCAAGTGGAGAAAGAGAAGAAAGCAGAAATTAAATTCTTTTAACAGACAATCCGTGTGTCATTCGTTCATTCGTTTTTCAAAATAAAACCAAAAATAAGAAAATGACAAAACAACAATTTTCTTCATTATTTGTGTCCAAAACCAAAATGAAAAAAACGGATAATGATTTTTATTTTTTTTTCAGTTTTCGATTTTGTGTTTAAATGAAGAATGGAAAAAACGGATAACGGCTGTTTCCAGTTTCCGTGACTTAAACTACGATGCTGGAATTTTGTGCCGTATAGGGATTGAACCAGGACTAAAACAGGACTAAATCAAAGCTAAATCAGGTCTAATCCAGGAGTAAACCAGGAGTAAACCAGTCTCAGTCCCACTCTCAGTCCCAGTCTCAGTCCCAGTCCCAGTCTCAGTCTGAGTCTCAGTCTCAGTCCCCAGTCTCAATCCCGAGTCTCAGTCCCCAGTCTCAGTCCCAGTCCCAGTCTCGCTCTCAGTCCCAGTCTGGTCCGGTCTCAATTCAGTATCCGTTTTTTCATTTTGGTTTTGGAGACAAGCAGTTGTTTTTTTGTTTTCTTATTTTTTATTTTATTTTGAAAATTTAATGAACGAATGATACACGGATTATAGATAAAGATGGGATTCAAAATGGTGAAAAATTAGGACTGTTGCCATAGCAATTAACAATTTAAATGACAGTATTATATCTTTTGAATGGTGAAAAGTCTTAGAAATATGACCCATGAAAAGGGTTATAAATGAGCTCAGTTAAATCATCCCACATTCAGTTTGGCCCTGTCAGACGAGGCGTAGAGAATATATTGTTAGAAAAATGCTGAGGTTTGAGGCATAGGCCAAAAAGAAGAATTGCAAATGTTGTTAGAACTGTCATGTACGACATATTGACTTGTTCAGTAAATAAAATCCACATTTTATAGTTAAGGTTTATGGTTGAATGAAATCTAGACTAAAATCTTTTTTAAAACTTTGTAAGTCTGATCAATGGTGAATCTCCTTGAGTTGAGATGGGAGTGATTGATAGGTGGATTAACCAATCAGAGAGCACCAAAGCACCAAAACAAATATGGCTGATGTTTGAGTGTTTATGAGGAAAAGATAAAGAGAAAAAAAAAATCACAGGGGACGGAGAAACACGAGACATTTCTGCAGAATCAGTGAGTGAAGCACTAAACCGTTTGAAGTGTGATGGAAAAGTGATTTTGTTTGTAAATGATATGTGACCAGTGAGTTTCCTCTTTACACACGGATCACTGAAATAAACACATCTTATCATTTTGAGTCTCGTGACACAATGGAGGGTGTAGGAACCAGACTGATAACATCTGTAGAAAACATACCATTGAGAATTTTCAAGGCAACACTAGTAGCTGCAAAGGGACAAAATAACTAACTACTGACAAAAACGAAAATCTGTTGGTCTTTATCTAATGCTACAAACCCTATAGATGCTAAAATCCGAAATGCAAAAGGTTTTAAGACATTATAGCAAAAAATAAACAACAATTTAGAATTTGTGTCTTTGTTAAGAGATAAATAAAAAAAAAACTCTAACCTCAAAATTGTATTTGAGCTTCACAAAAAGTATACTTTATGATGATATGTGTAAAATATCTATAGATGAAGTGACAAACTGTAGTGGCCTCATCTTTTTCTGTAAGGACTGGTCCAATAAAACCTAAAACTCTGGATTTTCTCTTTGAAAACCAGGATTAATTTCAGAATATTACAACATATGGAAAATCAAGGGAAATTTGGCAAATGAAAATCAGATGCTTGAGCGTGATATCAGAACCTGGTTTAAAAACATTTTCAATTGTTTTTTTGTTTTTTTTACATTATTTGTTAAGTGATAAAGAGATTAAGATGAAGATTTTGAGGTTTAACTGGACAAATCCTAACAGAAATATTAAGATCACTATAATTACTTCATCTAAAGAAATAGTAGAAAATTCACCAATTTAAATGATACTTTTTCTGAAGTTCAAATACAATTTTAAGGTTAGTAAATTGTATTTTTTCCATTATTTTTTAACAGAGAAGAAAATTAACTATTCAAAATTCAAAATTGTTGTTTATTTTTTGTTATAATGTCATAAAACCATTTGCATTTAGACAGTGTTGGGAAGTAACTGAAGACATGTACAAAAAATACATATTCTATATATTTTGAGTACCTGTATTCCAGTAGAATTACTTTTTCTTTTGGTAGTATTCAGATTACAATTACTTTATCATGTAATTTATGCTTCAAAATGTTTCCATCTCCAATTAGTGATAATAAATGCTTTAAAAATGTGAGGCTAATATAAAGTGTTTTCAATACTAAGTTGCATTTTTACACAATAATTTAAATGTAACTCAGTGTATTCAGAACACAGTACTCTGATTGGCCCATTTATCAGAATACGTTAAGAAACACATATTAATGCAGTAACTAAATACATTTTCGCAGTATTCTTCCCATCACTACACTTAGATCTGTTCATCAGTTAATCCTTGAAAGTACATTTTATTTGCTTCATTTTGCCTCCAGTTGAACTCCATTCTGGATATTTGAACATTCTGATGACAAAGGATTTTAAAAAGTCTGCTATTACTGTATTATTGCTAATATTTTCTTTTCACTACAAGAGTTCATTGGGTGTACAATTCTGCTAAAATGAAGGACGAAGTAGCTTGATGAGAGAAGAGGATGAACGAGGACAGAGATTTGATAGACAGCACCTTCTTGTGTGGTCCGAGGCTCTTTCATTTCCTTGATCAGTTTCCTCAGAGAGAGCAGCCTCCTATTCATACGGCACTGGATCACAATCTGAAGAATCAACATGACACAAGCACTCATTTATATGTACGCTCACGGCGGGCGGCGAGTGGCTAATACCGCGTATACAAGAATCCACTGCCTCCGCTGGCCTCTACTGTAAAGATCAGGTTCAAGTGAAATCCCATTGTAAACTGCCAATATTGTAGAATTGAGGTGGAGGGCAGGTCAGACTCGTGTGCTCTGGTTTATGTTTAATACGGATATTTTGCAGTGATGTCACCCTGGGGGGTTCTATGTGAATGTTTATGGCAGAATGTTCAGCAGTTATTCTGGAGGCACAATGCACATGTCAGAAAACACTGCCAAATAAGTTGAAAACTGGAATTAAACAACACATTTTCAGGAGCTTGTGATCAATGCAGGTGTTTATATTCCTGTTTAGGAGTTTGATTTGTTGGCTGTTGTGTTAAATCTCAGTTCAAAGTCCAGTAACAGCGCAGTGCCTCCAGTTAGCTTCACACTCCAGAGAATGTTTATGACATTACAGCACTTTACAGAACTGAAGAAGCCACTTGAATAACTTTTGCTACGGACATAAAATCAGTGTTCATTTCGTCAACTAAAATATTTCACCAAAGTTTAAATTTTTACTGATAAAAACTAAAGAAATGACTAAAATTAAAATTACAGACATTTTCTCAGTTCTTGTCAAAGTGATTAGTGGTCTAAAGTCCAGTGTGCCCACTTTCTGTCAGCTGTAATGGGTGAAACAAAAGTATCTGAAAATATTACTCAAACATATAGACATGATCGTTGTTGTTATGAAATTCAACATATGTGGATTTTCAGTTTGGATATTTCTCTCTAAAACAGTAAACTGCACAGAGTCACACAGCATATGTCCTCCATCTGACACTATACTGTACATACTATGAATACCAGAAGGTTGTGAGCATGACCTATTGAGTGTCATATATTTAGTACGGGTTTCCATATGACTGAACTAAAGGGTTGGGACCTCTGAGACATGGAAGTGTGCATCAGATCTCTGCTGAAGTTCAGACTGTGTAAACTATAGGCCTGTCACGATAAATACTACATCAACTTATTATTCAAGACATGAAAGTTTTGGGTTTTTTTGCACTACTGGGAATTTTTTTTGGCTATATGGTAAGATATAAGCTGTATTAAGTATAGGAACTAAAAATGTTTATTTAAAAATTTGGAAAAAAAGAGAGAAAAGGAATTTCAATTATAAATTGGTCAAAATATATCAATGTAAGGGGGCCTAGTGGTGTGTTTATGCTGCACTACCACATTACTTTTGTTTTATTTAACTAAATTTGTGTGTGTGTGTGTGTGTGTGTGTGTGTGTGTGTGTGTGTGTGTGTGTGTGTGTGTGTGTGTGTGTGTGTGTGTGTGTGTGTGTGTGTGTGTGTGTGTGTGTAGGGGGGGTTGCATTTGTTGTGTTGCTTTATGTTTTTGTGTTTTGTTTTTATATTGATTATTGTATTTTGTTAAATGTTATATTCTGTTGTCTTTAAAAAACTAAAAAATAATTTCTATGGCTCATTACAGAGGTAAACTAAGTACTAAAGTAGTAGTAGTAGTAATAGTAGTAGTAGTTTGCAGTAGCAGTAGGTAAATTGTGTAACTTTTCTGGTCTAGGATCCATCAAAAGCTTTTCTAAATGGAAATGTTATTGCTTTGTCTGGAATGTTTCGCAGTATGGTATTACACTTTTCTATCTTCTATCCAACTTAGAGGTCAGATCTGTGGAGAGGCAAGTCCGCTCACAGTCAGAATGTCTGTTTTTCTAGGTATTTTTGAGCTATAAAACCATCTGTAATTGAATAAACATAAAGTAGAGCTGTTTAATGTCACACTGTGGAACATTCCAGGCAAACAATGATTTATGTACAGAAACAAGCAGACAGTGGAATAAGTGAGTTTGAGTGTTAACATTTGTCATCTATATTTACTTCAAAATTTGTTATCATGACAGGCCAAGAGCTGACGTAGTACAGAGGAGGACTGGAGAGAAGTACCTTATACGCAGCCTGCTGGAAGAGTTCAAGGCATCTGTGTTTAAAGTCCCAGTTTATACACGGGTGGAACTGGAACTCTGGGGTGATATCTGGAGTCTGCAATGAGTTAAATCATAAACGTTTAAGTAATGAGGACAATCTGAAAACATAAACATTGCATTTTGTGACATGTTAAAAAATAGAAACATAGATAAGAAACACTTTGAAATGTTGCCAAATAGCGATGAGAAGTAATAGAAGCAGCGGGAGGAGTACTTCAAAATCGTATTCTTCACATTAAGCACTTTTTTTTTCTAGATTAGTAGTAGTTAAAATTTGTAACGTTTCTGGTGGCGGATCTGGGATCTGCTTGTGTCCATGGAAATGCTATTACTTGGCCTGCAATGTTTCACAGTACAGCTTTAAACCTGACTACTATCTACACAATACAGCCAGATCTATAGTAAGAATGTATATTTGTTATGGTTATTTTCTTTCTTTTTTGAACAATAAAGCTGCCCAGATCGCCCCAAGACACGCTGGAGGGACTATGTCTCTTGGCTGGCCTGGAAATGCCTCAGAGTCCCCCCGGAGGAGCTGGGGGAAGGGTCTGGGGTGAAGGAAGTCTGGGAGTCCCTGCTTAGACTGCTGCCCCCGTGACCTGGCCCCAGATAAGCGGAAGAAAATGGAAGGATGGACAATAAAGCATCAGTAAATTAATAAAAGCCATTTATATACGTCCATGAACACAAGCAAGTCAAGTGACGTTCCCTTCACCAGAAAAGTTACATAATGTACCTTTAATTACAAAACCATGTGCTACTTGCCTGTCCAACGTCTAAAACCACTCTTTCATTTGACAGTAGAGGTTTTCCAAAATAAATCTCTCTCTGTTCTGTTGCCTCTCCTCTTTGAGCCTAAAAATATAAAAATCCAGGTAGAAAGATTAAGTTGTGTCTACATAAATAGCACATTATTTTATACAGACATATTCAAACATCTTACATAACCTGGCTGGTCCCACATTATGCAAAATTGATTCTTGTGTGCTTTAAACCATGTTGTTATCTCCTCAAAAACATACCTGGGGTTGTTTTGTTTTGTTTCATTCAGCCATGTTTGAGCAATCCTTTATTATTAGTCTGTCTGCATTTCCAAAGCTGAAAATGTTCTGTTCCAGCTTGTGATGTTGTGATAGTGATAGTTTTCAAGTTAACGGCAAATTTTTACCTTTATTTCAGGCAAGGAAAGTTTATTTGTACAGCAGAATTCGTACACAACGTAACTGAAAGTGCTTTACAGAACAAGAAAGACATTAAAGTCGCAATACAAACTAATCAAAGCATGAATAATTATCATAAAATTAACATTAAAAAAGAAGAGTAGAACTTGGCTGAAATTATACAAATTATGAAGATGAAAAGTGAAGATGTACAGAGTTTAAAAACACATTAGAGCACTTCCTGTATTACCAGATCACAGGGTGGAACAGAGTGTTTTCAGTTTGAGAAGAACTCGGCGTAAATGTGCAGGATTTGTGTGTTAAACGTGTGTGAATGAAACAAAACACAACACCGGGTACGTTTGTGATGAGAAAACAACATAGATAGACGCTGTAACCTGTAATGAAAACATCAATCAATTCCGATTACATTCTCTTTTGTTTACAGCCTTTGTATGATTCTAGACAATTCTAAAAGATCACCTGTCCACAGAGGGATTACACTGTCATTATTAAGTACATCCTGACAGCTTTATGCAGTTATGAGAGATTTCATATTGAACATAGATCAGTGTATTGTATTTTTAGCTGTCAACTGGAACGGATCATCCCATTACAAAAGAGCCATGTTCCCATAACACACCTGATGCAACTCGCACCTCGGAATGGAAAATCTATGATATATTTGTATAACTGAATAACTTTTGTAAGGAAATTCAGAGGCCACATTTTAAAAAGTGACAAGGGTTTGGCCGAGCTTGCACTTTTTCAAACTGCGGTCCCAATAAATCGTCTCGTAAAAAGCCAGCGCGCGTCGTATTTTTAAATGCAATGTGATACTAGAGAGGCTACAATAACGCGCTAACAGTGAAGTGTAATGACAGGGACTGTGTAAGTGTCAGAGGAAGTAAATTGGAAAATATGACAAACTGAAGCATATTGTGTAGCCACGTAGTAAACTCAAATTAACTTTGGATTCTGTGGAATTTGGATAATTTGCTTCGAAGTGCAAGCTGCTGTAGTAGTGATAACAGTTGGTAGTGACAGTAGTAAAAGTAGAAGTTGTATTTGTATCTGTCATGATTTGTGTGCGTATTTCAGCTGTCAGAGAGATAGGAGAATCTCAAGGAGTAGTAGTAATAGTAGTAGTAGTAGTAGTAGCAATAGGTTTACTTGTTGAAACAGCTTTGGTGACCATGATAGTAGTAGCCAGTTGCAGTAGTAGTAGCAGTAGTAGCAGTAGTAGTAGTGGTCGTGGTAGTAGTAGTAGTAAAAGTAGTAGTAGTAGTAGTAGCAGTCGTAGTAATTCTATCTATCATGATTTGTATCCTTATTTCAGCTGTCATAGTGATAGGAGAAATCTAAGTAGTAGAAGTAGCCTATTACTACTACTTAGATTCATAGTAGTAGTAGTAGTAATAGTAGCAGTAACAGTAGCAGTAGGTTTAGTTACTGAAACAGCTTTGGTGACTATGGTAGTAGCCATAGTACCAGTTGTAAGAGTAGTAGTAGTGGTAGCAAGAGTAGTAATAGTGGTAGTGGTAGTAGTAGTAGTAGTAGTAGCAGTAGAAGTAGCAGCACCAGCATCAGCAGTAGTAGTACTAGTAGTAGTAGTAGTTTGCAGTAGCAGTAGTAGTAACCCTAGCTGTTGTATCTAAAATGGTAGTAGTTAGTAGTAGCAGAAGTAGTAGTAGTTGTTGTAGAGTAGTTGTATTAAAAAACAGTGTAGTATCGCTAGTGGTAGTAGTAGTAGTAGTAGTAGTAGTAGTAGTAGTAGCAGTAGCAGTAGAAGTTGTAGTAGCAGCAGCAGCAGCAGTAGTAGTGGTGGTAGGTGTAGCAGTAGTAGTTTGCAGTAGCAGTAGTAGTAACCCTAACTGTTGTACCTACAATGGTATTAGTTGTAGTATAAGTAGTAGCTACTGTAGAGTAGTTGTACAGAAACCAGTGTAGTATTCCTAGTAGTAGTAGTGGCTAAAGCTATAGTTTAGATATTTTTCCCAACATCCCCCTATAAAGTCTGGTATATGAACAAGTAGTGATTTTATACTTGATATATTTGTATTTAAAGTACCTTTGTATACATTTGCAGGGCCTCCTCTCTCTCCTCCAGAATGTCCCTCCTCCTCTTTCCACACACGGGCTCCTCTCCCACATGGTCCACCTGCCTGCTCAAACATACACTTTTATACTTCATAGTACTTTCACCTTAAATATATGTACTTTTACTACCTTTGTAATATCAAACGTACCATTGCCGACAGCGCTCTTGTCTGTTCCTCTCATTCTCGGTTACTTTTTTGAGGAACAGGGCCTCCTTTACTTGGCGGCTCAGCGTGAAATCTGGACCCCCCGAGGACAAAAATGAATTGGATACGGAAAATTAGCTTACAGTGTTGCAATACAAATAACTTGGCTGAACAGTGCAGTGTGGTGTAGTTTGAGAAAAGTGATTGTATTTTACAAGTTGATATGAAAACAGTTATTCAAGGTAGTCATTTATAAGATTCAGTTTTTATGGAAAATTCTCTCTTTAATTCCAGTATTTCTTTCATTTTCCATAACTCTTAAATCGAGATGCACTGTGTCATGTTTCAGTTAGGGGTCTGCCACCTTTTTGTTTTTATGGATATGTCATTGCTGTGCCTGGAATGTTCCATAGTATGACATTAAACAGCTCTACCTTACACGTTACTTTATTCAATTAGAGGTGGTTTAAAAAATATACATATAAAAATACCTAAAAAAACAAGCATTCTGACTGTGAGAGGGGTTGCCTCTCCACAGATCTGACTTGTAATTTGGTCTGGTTTGGTCTCCATGAAAAGTTTAAAGCCATTCTGTGGAACATTCCAGACAAAGCAATACATCTCCATGGAGAAAAGCATTTGACGGACCCTCCACCTGAAAAGTTACACAATACACCTTTAAACGAACTATACGTAGCCTGCGCTCATATAGTTTTAAGAAAAATACTACGTTACGCTTGCAGCTGTTTTAGTTATCAGTATTTGTGCAAGTATGGAGGTTTAGGTAGAGAAAATTCAGATTAGAGAGAGTCCTTTTACTTTTAAACCAGCTGAATTTTCGTATTGAATCTGGCAACCCAAATGACAGATTAATAAAGTCAATGGTCTTGAGAACCTAAAAAGGCAAATTGGCAAAGGCAAAAGTACTATAATCACAACTGAACCTAAGTTTTAACCCGCAAATAGATTTGATCATACTATCAGTATTATAGAGGATTCAAATCAGAGAGTCCTTTTACGTTTAAACCAACTGAATTTTTGTATTGAAACTGGCAACCCAAATGATTCACATAAGGCTTCTATTTTCTGATTGTACTCGTATAACGGTCTTGAGAACCAAAATCCTAAATTGTAACACAAACAGCTTCATGTGCAATGTTTTTGCAATTCATTTTGTTAAAGAATAAATCAGTATTAGAGCTGTTATCAGTAAACGCTATATTTAATTTGAACAAGTCTGTCTCTTATCTGCGGATGCAGTTGGGTCATGTTTAAGGAATTTTAATTTAACATCTTAATAGAGCAATTAGTAGAAGAAGTAGTAGAAGAAGAAGTAATAGTAGAGTATTAGCAGTAGCAGTAATAGTAGTAGTAGATTAGTAGCAGTAATAATGTAGGAGCAGCAGCAGTAGTAGTAGTAGTAGTAGTAGTACTAGTAGTAGTAGTAGTAATAGTAGTAGTAGAGTATTAGCAGTAGCAGTAATAGTCATAGTAGTAGTAGATTAGTAGCAGTAGTAGTAGTAGTAGTAGTAGTAGTAGTAATAGTTGTTGTTGTCATAGTAGTGGAGTAGTAGCAGTAGTAGTAGTAGTAGTAGCAGTAGTAGTAGTAGTAGTAGTAGTAGTAGTAGTAGTAGTAGTAGCAGCAGCAGCAGCAGCAGCAGTAGTGGTAGTAATAATAGTAGTAGTAGCAGTAGTAGTAGTAATAGTCATCATCATTATTGTTGTTGTTGTAGTAGTGGAGTAGTAGTAGTAGTAGTAGTAGTAGTAGTAGTCGTCGTCGTAGTGGTTGTAGTTGTAGTACTAGTAACAGTAGTAGTTGTCATCATCATAGTTTTAGCAGCAGTAGATTTAGTTGTAAACACAGTTTGAGTAACAATGGTATTACTTATTGTACTAGTTGTAGTAGTAGAAGTAGCAGTAGTAGTATCGTAAGCTGTTACAGTGTGGTTGTATTGAAAACCTGTCTATGTAGTATTAATCGTAGTAGTAACAGTAGCAGTCTCCCGTATCTGGGGCCACAGTTGGGTCATGTTTATGGAACTTTAATTTAACATCTTAATAGAGCCTTTAGGGAGACTGTGTTTTTCCCCACGTCAACAGTATAAGTAAAATAATGATTCAGGAAAGTATGTACAACTAGTAAAAACAAAAAGGAAAAGAAAAAAGGGGTGGGGAGAGGGGCAGTTAAAAAATTAAAATGACTTTGCGTACCTTCTTTTAAGGCCTTGGAGTGGAGTTTACTGGTTTCCCTGATCATCATTTTTGCAACTCCTCCGTGTGTTAAGATGTCGATTTGATGCTTCGAATCCTTCTCTTTTAATTTCTGCACATTAAAAATATATACATTACAGACTTACACTACCAGTCAAAGTTTTGGACTCACCCTCTCATTCAGTGTTTTTTATTTATTTTAATATTTACATTTAATACTTTCAACATTTGATATACACACGGAAGACCTCAAATATATGAAGTAAGAGGTATGGAATTATGTATCAAAGAAAAAATAATACAAAACACTAAATAATTCCATATGTATTGCTTCATATATTTCAACCCTAAGCAAACACATTTGAGGATTTGGTTATAAATAATTTTAAAATCAAACAGTTATGTAACTTTTTTATTCTTTACTACATAATTCTCCACATTTTGCTTCATATATTTGATGTTTTCTGTGTGTATATAAAATGTAAAAAGTAGTAAACTTAGTACACTGAATGAGAGTATGAATCCAAACTTTTGACTAGAGAAAGTATAAAAAGTATAGAGAAAGTGAGAGATCGTGCCTAGTTTTACCTTGGGTTTGACTGAAATCTTGGTCGACCATGTTTTGCATCGAGTCGCCACTTGAGACGCAGGTGCAGCGGCTTCTTTATGCCCCAACTTTTTCTCCACCTGGCTGTCGTCGATATAAACAAATGTTATTCAAATGTGTATAATCACTTGAATCAGGGCAGTTATGCAGATCTGCGAAGACTTAAATAGATGTGGAAATATTAGTCTGACTAAAGCAGGTGGGGAATATATTTAGAGTTATGTAAATGCCAAGAATGTTAACAGTTCTGCATGATTTGAACATGATCGCAAAAGAAGGCCAAATAATATAACAAATTTCAACCACTAGAGGCCAGTAAGTGACACAATTCTATAGTTTTGTTAGTTGCAATTTTGAGAGGAGGTGTGTAGAGTAACCAACACTTCAAAATAATATTACCTAAGTAGATGTACAAAGGAGAGGCCCAAGAAATTACTCAAGTAACACTTAAAAGGTATTTGTATATTTGTGTTTGCTCAGACTTTGAATGTGTTAAAAATAAACCCTCAGCCACTTCAGCGGGTCTCAAACAGTGGAGTAGAAAGTACAGATACCAGCTCTCAGAAGTAGTGAAGTAAAAGTAAAAAGTATCACCTTTAAAATGTACTTAAGTAAAGTACACATACCTAAAATTTAAACTTAAAGGTGCATTGTGTACCTTTTTTTTCACTCTATGCACTGGAAAAAAAAGTTAATCTACATAAGTTAAAATGACTTAAATTAAGAATATTTTACTTTATTTGTGTAGATTCAACATAAGTACATAGTAGTACATAAGTATGAGTACATTTACAGTATGAGTACAAAAAGACTTATTCCACTGGCAGATAAATTTACTTGTGAAAGTGAAACTGACTCAAAACTTTATAAAACTTTCTTAATTCAAGTCAGTGGTAGATTTTGTTTTTTTGCAATGTGGCATTACACCTTTTTATCTTAACGGAGACCAAACCAGACTAAGTCACAGGTCAGATCTGCGGCGATGCGACCCCGCTCACAGTGAGAAAGCTTTTTTTTTGGGGTATTTTTGAGTTATAAAACCACATATAATTGAATAAATGTAAGGTAGAGCTGTTAAATGTCATACTGTGGGACATTCCTGACAGAGAAATATATAGAAACAAGCTCAAAACAGACCCTAAACCAAAAAGTTACACTGTGCACATTTACTACTTTTACATTTTACATTCCCCCACTGTTCAAACTGTTACCACTGCGAGCTCATACTAATGCCTTGGTAGTGGTCCTTTTTAGAAAGAATTATAAATCACGGAGGAGGTGACACCTGCAGCCCATGCTAATCTCCCTTAAGTACCTGCTCTATATCTCTTTGACACACTGTAAACATGAGCTAAAAGCTGCGATTTACAGCTATATTAACATCTGGGAGAGCTCCAACTGCGTATTTGTAAACTTGATTAAACTTCGGTCATTTCCATCTTAGCACGACACGAGAAGAAGCTATAAAAACAAAACCAAAAAAAAGAAACAAGTCAGCATTATCTGAATCCAGCGCAAAAAGAGGGCGAATGTTTTATATGCAAAACCTCTATCTGGGAGCGTATCTATCTTAATATCACTGCGCTAGCTAGTTTCATAAATTATTAACTTCTGGCCGAGATAAGGCGAAGACAGTGATGTGGATGGAGCTGCTGGGAGTTTGATGGATAGCCCGGTTTTTTCTCATGGGAAAAGAATTAAACATTAGGCCCATACCAGCCGCAAAACAACTCCTGTATTCTGGGTAGCAGCAGGAGAATGTTCCCAGCGAGTTTAATAGAAAAAATAATTATTCTTTACAGTGCATATGGCAGGTTAGACAACGCATTTCACTAAAAGTCAGGAGTGTTGTCACGACAGTACAGTTTCGAACTTGATTTCAATACTAAAGAATAGACTTGTCACTCAATACTGATTCAGAATACACAATGATAATAAAAACACTCACCTACCCTCAGTGGTCCAGGTAGGTTCCACAGTGGTCCATGGGCGTATACTAGTCTATGTGTTCATATACTTGTTCTGACACAGCTCAAGATCATTCTAAAGGTTCATTTCTGTCCTATGAACGTGACTTTTAAGCATTGATACCTGGTCAGATACTACTAGTTTTTAGGGGTGTAACAATATCCAAGTCTCACAATACGATATTGTCACGGTATGAACCTCACGGTACGATATTTATTGCGATATCATGGGAAAGCTCACGATTAGGGATGTAACAATATCCAAATCTCCCGGTACGATATTTTCACTATTGATATCTCACGGTATGATATTTATTGCCATATTTTGTGGAGGGTAAACAACTAAAACTCAAAAATACCTTGACAAGACTTAATCCAAAGAACGAAGACATAAAAGTGCTTAGAACTGTTATTTCTTCTTGTAGTCTACACTAAAATGGAGCAAAGGATCATGGTCTATGTAGTTCCCTCTGTCTTTCTCTTAATTTAAGCAAAGAAGATTTGTAATTCGATATATTGTGATATTCCACGATATTATTGTGAGAACTTTGACGATACAAAATCATGATATTTTCAGTTATTGTTGCATTCCTACTCGTTTAGTATCAATTGATCTGATTTTTGATATTTATACCAAAAATCTTGTCTATGTGTTTTTAGTTGGGTTAATTTTACTTCCTGGCTGGACATGGGCAGCAGATGTGACATATAGTACATTAGAAGTGATTCCATAACTTCTACCTAATAACCATAATTATGATAGTTATGATTAGACTATTAAAAGTAAATGACAACACCTCTATTTAGTTAAATGAAAGTTTAAACTGTCAGAAAAATGCCTTCATTGTGGGTAAATTATCTCTCAATTTTGGGCAGAATCTTTCTATGTTGATGATATAGGTAGAGATATTTTAACTCAGCTACTTCCAGTGTTTTTTGAACTTTTCTTCCACTAACTACCAACTGATGTAAAAGTATAATATTTACAAATAAAACCAAGTAATATTTAGAAAAACATAAAAACCTGTCACTTTAAAGGGACAATATTACATTTATCATTTTGTGATCTGTGTTATAATGTTGTTTCCTCATCCCAAACAGACCTGAAGTTGTGTTTTGTTTCATTCACACATGTTTAAAACAAAAACCCTGCATATTTAGGCTGAGTTCTCTCAAACAGAAAACACTCTGTTCCACCTTGTGATGTCATGTGGTAATACAGGAAGTGCTCCACTGTGTTGCTAAACTCTATAGACCTTCACAAGAATCATTTGGATCATTTCAGGCCTGGAATTGCAAATCTCTACAAAACAAAAGGTTAAAAAGTAGCTGTTAACTACTACTTCATGACATCACAAGGTGGAACAGAGCATTTTGAGCAAATAAAGGATTGCTTAAACATGTGTGAATGAAACAAAACACAACTCCAGGTATGTTTTTGAAGAGGCAACAACTTTCTAACATGGTTTAAAGAGTCAATTTCACATAATATACGGACTTTAATAATGTCTTACCTGAGGGCAACATGGGGCTTAGAGGAACCAGTGACAGTGCACAGAAATGGTTTAGTGTTGAACTGGGAGACGACCAGCTTGAAAGTGATTTGCGCCGTCTCATATTGGACAGGAGTAAAGGTCACAACGATATCCACTTGACTGTTGGCTGGAATCACACCTGTAATGCACAAGAACATCGTAAAAAAAACACATAAAAATCTTATGTATGTGATTTTTACGAGGATTACAAATAGCAGCTAAAGTGGCGTTCCCAAATAAGATACACATTAGTTTCGTGGAGACAGTATTTGAGAGCTAGTTCCTGCTCGTGTTATGATGTTTCCCAGGCCATGAGGAGAGTTTAATTCTTCAGAAAAATACATGTTGTGGCAGTTTTGAGAAAATATTTGGTAAGGGAACGTAATGGAAATGGAGCAGAACAAAAGAAATGTACTTGGTCCTTGAAGGCTCAAGTAGATTACATTATTGGCTTTTCTTAGAGTAAACAGTCCCAAAATACAAAAAGCTTGAGATTCTATGTTTAGTTTGTTCATTTGTTCCTTGTTTCATAATGGAAATACATAGAGCAAGAATGTTGACACTGTTGATAAAATTGTAATCAGTTTTTAAATACACACTTTACATTTTTGTTTAGACACACATATTTAATTTTTAGATTGGATCCAGCTGAAAGACTTCAAATGCCAAGGTAAAGTTCTTTGAGTTTCGTTGCATTTTAATTCAGAAGTACTGATACTTCGTAGGGACATCACACAGGGGGTGTTCTACATGTACCTCTGTGGTGGAATGTTCAGCAGTTACCATGGAGACACAATGCACACATTAGCAAACACTGTCAAAAAAGTCTGAAACCCAAGAAAAAATACAAAATGGATTTAAACAGCACATTTTCAGGAGCCTGTGATCAATATGAGTGTTCATTGTCCTGTTTAGGAGTTTGATGTTATTTGTGTTAAAACAAAGCTCAGCTCTAACAAAGCTTCAGACAGAGAAGTGCCTACAGTTAGCATCACAGCCCCAGAAAATGTTGATGACATCTGCTGCAAAGTGTAAAGTAGCATCAGATCGATATTGGGATATTTGCGTTATCCTGCCACTAAAAACAGTCTTACCCACTTCACAAAACACCCAAAGCAAATCTAATATTACACCAGACTGTCGATGTAAATGTCTGTGTCGATAGAATAATTTGAAAACCTTGCATTTGAAGGATTTATGTCTGAGCAGCAGCAGCAAGTTATACTTCCTGATAGAAAAATCGGCAGCGGCGGACTGATATATGAGAAAATAGTCCCTCAACATGCGTCAATTCATGCGATGCAAGGTTAGTTTTTTTTTTCAAACATGATTCTATGAACACAGACATTTACTCTGATAGTCTGACGTAATAATAGATTTGCTTTGGGTGTTTTGTGAAGTGGGTAAGACTGTTTTTAGTGGCAGGATAACTATGGCCATTGACATGCACAAGCCTAGCACCAGTGACCTCTGCAAATACAAGGACTGGATGGAATATTTACATGTCTCCGACACTCTGGCTCACTAGGAAATGAGGTCCTATGTCCAAAATTCTGAACTGTCCCTTTAACTTCTACTATTTCTAAAGTAGTAGAGGTAAATGCATAAAACTGTTCACACTGGCCCCTTGTGGCCTGAGTATCTTAGCATGGGATAATTTTCAAATATTGGAATTCAAATGGTGTTGAGAATACACAATAAAAATATTTCATCTTCTTCGGCCAATTTTCATAATATCAGAACATTTCATCCAAATTACACCATCCCGTTTTTCAGTCGTCTTGTTAACGGGGAAACAAAACCAACTATGGCTTGTGATAAGAAACAGTAATGACAATTTGAAAACTGAATGTTAAAACAAGATTAGTTCAAAGCCAAATAGATAAGATGTGTATCGATGGTTTTCTGTGTTAAATCAGAAAAGGCAAAAGTCTGGTTTCATTGCTGTGTTTCAGAGGACATCGCGACATTATATAGACCAATAATCAGTAATACAGATGGGAGAGGCAGCTAAAATGTAGATTGTTAAAAGGCCAAGTTCTAGTCTAATTAACTATCTAATTCATTAGTTCGAATTATAGTATTTTTTATTTTATTCTGCCTATATGCTCCCTCAAAATTATGCTCAGGAATTTAACTTAAAACCTGTGATAAAAAAAACTAATAAATAAACTAATAAAAAACAATGAAATTCAAATCAATAATATAAAACGTGATTATAAAAAAATAATATAGTAATTTTAAATAAGGAAAGTTAAAGCAGTTTCATAAATGAATATGATAATAAAGAAGAAGGACATAGAATTACGCAAAAAAGGGGGCCAAGAAAGTATAAGTAAAGTAAAATATTTTGAGAAAGAAAAACAAGATATGGACATGTAGTAGTACTATGAAAACATGTACGGCCAAGTTTATTTAGAATTTTATACGCACTTGGTCACCTTAAGAAATAATAAAAAAATAAATAAAAATAAAATAGAATAAAATTAATAAATAAACCAAGACTGAAGAAGACTAAACCAGGTCTAAAAAAACCCCCAAAAAACATTTAAATAATACTTATGAGTGTTTTGTAAATAAAAATAAATAAATAAATAAATACAAATAATTAAAAAATAAATACAATAAAATGAAAAATAATAAATAAAATAACAAATACAATTTAATAAAAATATATATAAAAAAAAAAAAATACAATGAAATGAAATGAAATAAAATAAAATGCCAAGTTCTGGAGTCTTTTCATTTGTCAGGTTCCACATTTGTGAATTTACCTTTTGAATATTTCATGGCAAAATATGCTGTAATTAAAAGAAAAATCTGTCTCCAACCCCCCCATCTCATTTTTTAATCTGAAAACCACCAACGGAGAAAATCCAGTGTAAAAATGTGAGTTTTTCGTACCAGCGAGAGGTTGTATGGAGAAAGCCTGGCTGTTCTCGATAACAAAGATCTGAAACTCAAAGTCGATGGGGCAGCTGCATCTCAGAGGAATAGCACGAGAGACGCTGTGAGGAAACAGGACACAAAACAAGATCAGGGCTGTGAAAAGACAGATAATGCAATATTAGCTGACGCAATAACGGATAAATAAATATATCAAAACAACACAAGGTTTCCCGTTTCATATAAATGTTCCTTTTCATGGTTTCCCCATGAACAAGAGATGGGTAGAGCAGCCAAAAATTGTACTCAAGTAAGAGTAACGACACTTCAAAATAATATTACTCAAGTAGAAGTACAAAGTAGTGGTCTAAGTAAGAGTTAAAAAGTATTTGAGAAAACTACTCCTCAAGTAAGAGCAAATGTAGGGACGTAACATCTGATTTACAAAGGAGAGACGCAAAAATGAGATGAAACTATCTATCTCAAGAAGCGGTGCAAAAAACACAAATATTTCATTAATTTCATATTGTCAACACAAATTTTACTCAAGTAGGAGTACTATTACTTCAATAAAAATAGTGTTTAAACTGGAGTAAAATGTACAATTTCTACAAAAAGTTACTGTAGTAAATGTAACTCAGTCTTTTATTTTATACTTTTACACAGTTTGAGTAGTAAATAAAGGCATTTTATTTTAATTCAACTGATCTTGAACTGCCCAAATATGATAATACAAAACATATTTATTGAAAGTGGCATGTGTTTTCTTATATGAGCAGCTCTAAAACAAATGTCCATGATTTCTTTATGATTTGACACTAGTGGAGCTGTGGCTGGTTGTGTTGAAGAATGTAATGAGACAGGGGAGCCTTGGGGCAACACACATATACACACATATACACACACACATACACACACACGCACACACACCTCTGCTGCAGCGCTGTGGCCCGGAGGTTGATGTGTGACGGGATGTACAGGTCATCGATCACAGGGTAACCATGAACTGGAATTAACAGGTTCTCCTCGCCCTGATGAAGAGATTCAGGAAGACGGAGAGAAAGAAAATAATCATGAAACAGCGCTTATGATAGGTCTTCAGGTTTTTCTAATTACAGTACAACTCGGTTTGGTAGGAGAGCAGCTGTGGTTGACATTTATAATAGTTTTACATCAGTTAAAGGTACACTGTGTAATTTTTTTGGCTCCTCAAATGCTTTTCATGATGGAGATGTTTCACAGTATGGTATTAAACATTTCTATCTTCATCTACTAATAGGTCAGATCTGTGGAGAGGCGACCCCGCTCACAGTCAGAATGCTTGTTTTTCTAGGTATTTTTGAGCAATAAAACCACCTGTAATGTAATAAATGTAAAGTAGAGCTGTTTAATGTCATACTGTGGAACATTCTAGGCAGAGCAATGACATACCCATAGAAACAAGCAGGTGACAGACCCCCAACCAACAAGTTAAACAGCGCACATTTAAGTTTGTGTGGAAAAAAACTTAGAGAAGAAAATTACACAAATACAGAAAGCAGAAGCTCAAATGAGGACTCCCTAACTCGTGCGGTTGCGGAACTTAACAATCAACAATGCAGCCATGGGAAACAACATTTAGACAAACGAAAAGTATAAATAAATAAAGGTATTAGTTAACTGTGTTTAACGGACCGCAAAAATACTGTAAATGTTGCGGAACACTAACCGCCCCCAGACGAGTTCCTTCTCCACTCTGCATTGAACAAACCCAGTGAAAAAGATTAGGGATGCATCAGGGACTAATAATGACATTTTTTTCCTTTAAATGAAAATAAAATGAGACAAAACTGTTCCAAATGTGTTATGTAGCTATTAGTTATCTTTCAAGTAACTACTGAACAACTTTGTATACATAAAAATCGGCTGATTCAATATTTGGAAGCCGATATCCGATCCAGCAAAATTTTCAGGATTAGTAATAAAAAGATCAAAAAAGTGTTTGGACAGATGTTTATCAAGGCAGCAGATGTGGATATTAAAGTCACCAACAATTACGATTCAGTCATAGTTTGTCCCCGTCAGCCAAAAAAAATCTGCGGGGTCAGTGATAAATCCTTGTTGTGTTTGGGAGGTCTGTAAACACCGGCGAAATATGGAGAGGGCAATAAAGTTCAAATAAACACAGCTCAAAAAATAAGTGCAAGATGGCTACAACGGCTCACACTTAAAGATATGTTTATAAACTGACGCAGTCCCTTCTCCACGCCCTGTCCTCCTCGGGGCATTGAAATAAACTTCGTCTGACTTATTTCCATAACAGTTTTTCTTGTTGACAGTTAGTGCAGCTTCCTTATCAACCTGGACTGTCAAGGTTCATATTATTGGGTTTCAGCTTCTTGTGATAGGCAACATGTTGAGGAGTTTTCCCATTCAAAACGATTCATATTTAGTTTTACAGGTCCTATGTTACGCAAATTTGACTCTTGTAAGCTTTAAGCCGCGTTATAATGCTGCTACCATGCCTGGAGTTGTGTTTTGTTTCATTCACACACAGTTTGAGTAACCCTTTATTATTAGTCTGTTTACATCTCCAAAGCTGATGTCATGAAGCTGAAGTTAACAGCCACCTTTTACCTTTAGCTCAGTAGAGATTGGCAATTCCAGAGCTGAAATTACTCAAATGATTGTAGTGAAAGTGTTTTTGCAAATTACATTCTGAAATTTCGCACAACACAGTAATTTCGCCCCAAACTTGTGTTAGTCATAGAGCATAATCTGCATATTTAAGGTTATCTCACCTGTGATTAAACACACATTCACTGGTTCGTTGAGTATAAGAGAATGCTGCGTCTTTACCTTGCAGTGAACCCGAACGCTGTCATAAAAGTAGCGCCACTCATCGGGACAGAAATGGATCTTGACGGCGTACGCGAGCCCGGGGACCAGTCGATGCTTGAGAGAGAATGGACAGACGTTGAATCATCACAAGTAATGATTTTATGACTTGTATTCCAATCGATGTGTAATTAAAGCTCCTATATTCCACGAAATTGACTCTTGTGAGCTTTGAGCCATCTTATAGTGCTGTTACCTCCTCAAAAACATACCTGGAGTTGGGTTTGTTTCATTCACACCTTTGTGCCGCTTTATTATTAGTCTGTCTACATCTCCAAAGCTCAGAATGCTCTGTTCCACCTTTTGCTGTCATAAAGAGGTAGTTTTAAAGTTATCAGCTCCCTTTTACCATTATTTTAGTAGTTTAGTTGAAGTGTAATTCATCTATCCCCTTTTCAAATCATGTTCGTGTGTATCTGCGTCTGTACTGTTATGTTGTTATATGAATTGTAAATTAAGGTTTAAAATAACTAAGTAACTAACTAGTAGAGATTTTAAATATATTGAGTTTGAAAACACAGGGGAGCATTTCCTCTATTATCACATGACATCACAAGGTGGAACAAGATGTTTTCTCTTTGAGAGAAGAACTAAAGAAGCCTAAATATGAAGGGTTTGTGCGTTAAACATGTGTGAGTGAAACAAAACAACTCCAGGTCTGTTTTTGATGAGGAAACAACATTCTAACATAGATCAGCGTAATATGGGCCCTTTAAAAAGTAAAATTACCTTTTTGGTGTAAGTTGTTTGGAAGTACTTGGTTTGAGTGGGGAGGATGTGAATATTCATGACCTCGGTGGAGATGTTGATGAGTTGCTGAGGATGAAAAAACCCAGAAAAGAATAATTTACACTAGTCTAATCACATCCCATATGCTCTACATGTAGTTTCGTGCTTCATCAAGCAGACAGTGGTTCACAATCACTGCCCATTCACACTAATGCAGTGTGGCTCAGATGTGATCACTGACGTACATGCACAAATGTAGGACCACTCAGGGGGCTAATCTCAGGGTAGAGCACTTTATAGGGATGTTTAAAGATGCATTATGTAACTTTATGGTTGGGGGGTCCATCACCAGCTTGTTATATATGATAGGAGATGTCATTGCTGAACCTGGAATGTTCCACAGAATGACATTAAACGGCTCTACCTGACATGGTTTTATTGCTCAAAAATACAAATAAAAACAGGCATTCTGGCTGTGAGCGGCTGGCTCTCCACAGATCTGACCTGCAACCTTGTCTAATTTAGTTTTCATGAAGATAGATGCTTTAATGCCATACTTTGAAACATTCCAGAAGAAGCAATGACATCTTTCATGATGAAAAGCATTTGACAGACCCTCCGCCAGAAAAATTACACAATTTACTTTAAAGGGAAATTAAAAGTAATATTTATGACACTCTTGTTAGTAAAAATGACAGTAGGGCTCTGCAGATGAGGAAACGTGCAATAGACTAGTCAAGTTTTGAAGTGGTGGTGGCTAAAATGGTTTTATTACATAATCTCATAATAATACTGACCTTGATTTACCCATGATTTTCTTCACAATGTTACTGAGGATGTGGATTCTTCTAGTCTTAGACATTTTTATACTTGTTTTAAAGGTGCAGTATGTAACTTTTCTAGAGGAGGGTTTGGAGATGTTAATGTTTGTCTTATGATGCATTCATGTGGTCCTTGACAACGCTCGATTCTGAGATGAGATGCCGGGATTCTGACTTGTTCATGACCTTTTATCTTGGAATTTCTGGAATTTTATGTCACCATGAATAAAATCACTCTTTGCTAACTAACAGCACTGAAAAGAGGTAGTCATTAAGAGCTGTTTTTGCTGTTGGCCTTCTCAAAAAACAAAACAGAAAACCCCCCAAAACATTAGGTTAATTGTTTACTTTTGGTAGTTAACGTTACTTCAGTAATTAAACAAATTTGACTGATTTGTTGCTCCTATGATCTGGATAACTGACAGTAAACCCCAAATTATAATCATTTTTAGTCAAAGAGCTCAAATAAATTAGATAAATAGACAAATCAGCCAATTTTCATTAATTTCCTCCAAACAGTCACATCAGATACAGAAATCAGGCAGACAGTTTTCCAACTTGTGCTGCATTCAGGTGCCCTGTTCAACTCGCACAAAACATTATCCTGAGTTTCCGAGGACCACATGAACGCAGCATAAGAATGTTCCAAAGCATTAAATGATTAAACTCATCTATGTATCTCCATGGAGACAAGCATGTCAAGCCATCAGGCAGGTCTGTGGAGATGTGACTCTAGGCGACCCCCCATTAGAAAAGCTACATCGTGTATCGTACTTTTTCTTGCTTTCTAGTTTCTACACAACCATAACCGCAGAATGTTGTTGTTAATTAATATATTTTTTGCAAGTGTCTGGTGTTGACAATTTCCTCCTCTCTGTAATGCTTTCTTAGGACCCACTTTGTGAGGAAACATACTGTACCAGAGTCTGAACAGGCTTTGATCAATAAAATAACCATCATTCTTCAGCAAAACCTTGAACCTAACCTTCTGCGCTTCCTGTTAATGAGTTCAAGTCGAAGAATTCTAACCACTTCTTGCTTTCAGTGTCACTTGAGTTATAAAACATACATTCTTACTGAACTGAGGTATTTTGAACCTAACCTTTTACATAAGGGCTGTCAGTGATAAACAGTATATTTTTATCTCACCAAAGTGCTGCAGTATTTCTTTCCCAGCTGAAAACCACTGAAGTGAACTTCTGCCGGCTCTGCTTGGATCAGACTGTTGCTTTTCAGTTTGCCATAAAACTCTGAAAAAGACAATAAGACACAAAGATAATTGTGTTCTTGGGTTCTACTTGGGTTAGTTCTCTTTTGTTTTTAACTTGAGTGTAATTGAGTGTAACTGAGTGTAATTGAGTGAAATTTTAGGGTTGTCAAAACACCGAAAATCTAATTTAGAGATACTAAAACTTGTGTTGAAACTAGATTCTTATTTGAGCAGGTATCAATACTACAAAAGTCACATTCAAAGGACAGAAATTAAACTTTCCTGAATAGTTTTAGAATGATCTTGAGCTGTATCAGAACAAGCATAAGAGCACATAGACAAGTACACGCCCATGGACCATGATGGAACCTACCTGGACCGCTGAGTTATTATACAGATATAAGACCACATGGGAATAGAAAAGAAAGTACGACGAGTTAATGCTGAAAATCACATTCTATTGTCTAAATTAATACAATGTTTTTTTAATACCATTTTGGTATTGGAATTGGTATTGAGTCTATTTCTTTGTATGAAAATCAAGTTTGAAATTTGAGTATTGTGACAGCGAGCCTTAGAAGAGCTACAGTTAGATGCCTTTAAATATAAGCCTTTAATTATCCATTTATTAGTGTACAAAGTTAAGCATCAAAATGATATATGTGGTGACAATGGTAAAAGGCATTTAATTAATCAAATTTTACTTATTCTGCACTAACTGTAATTCTGAAATCCTTTGGTGAGCTACTTGGAAGGGGGTGGAGAGCTACTGGTAGCTCCCGAGCTACAGGATGGAGACACCTGCCATAGACTGTATAAAAGAAGTGGACGAAGTGAGTGTGAAGTCAACCATAGTGTTCAGCGCCGCTCAAATGAGGAATAGGATTTTTTTGACGGACAAAATAGTGAAAAAAAAATCAGGATCATGTGTCACGGGTTAATTTGAACATTTTAAGACCAAAATGACGAGGAGCAGTTACAGATAGTGGGGAGACAAGATCCTAATGTAAGTCAATTGCAGGGTCAGAAGGAGCCGGAAGAGCCTCCTAGCAAACTTCCAATTTGGCACACGGCGGCTAGTACGTTAGCTATGTCTACTCATATTTACGGTCTATGATTGTGACACTAGTATGTTTATTTGACCTTTATGGGCGTTGACCTTGACCATGAATTGTGTATCTCTTGAGGTAAATATTTTTTGCCAGTTGTACAGTCCTAATTATGCATTTTGGATATTACAACTTCTTAGCCTCGGTCTTTTATGTTTTATATCTCACTGTAATGTAACTGATGCTTTGCAGTGACATCATTCTGGGGGTGTTCTACATGTATCTCTAATGGTGCAATGTTTAGGAGTTACCATGGTGACAGAAAACAGCCAAAAATGTTTGAAGATTGTCTGAAAACTCAACTCGAACACGATTTTCAACAAAAATGATGAGCATGAGCTTGTGACTCTAATTTAATGTGCGAGAGATTTGTTTAACAGCCCAAATCAGATCACCTTTACGGTCAGACTGCGTGAAAGTAAAGCTAAGATTAAAGTCTAATAAACCCTAAGACAGAGCAGAGCCTACGTTTAATATCTCACCCCCAGGGAATGTTAAAGTATCAATATGTGTATGGGTAAACATGTTCAAATGAATCAGCCCTAATGCATAAACAATGTTATAACATGGAAGGAATGCTCGAAAATGTGCCGGCTTGCGGAATTTTTCAAACGTTTTTTTATTCAATGAAGTGTATAAAAAGAGCTGCTGTATCGAGTCCCATGTCCCCCGAGGAGTGAGTTATACTTGTTTCGAGCAGGTGAGTGGGGGTGCTGCTGCGACTTCTCTCCGCCACCAGGGGTCTCAGGGGCAGGGGGCTCCCTCGTCCCGGAGAGCGTCTGAACGTGCCGGGGTCGTGCAGGGCCACTTCCATCCTGCAGGGGGGGTCAGGGAGGGCTGCTCCTCAGAGACTAGACAAAGAAGGCTGGAGGAGAGAGAGAAGATAAAGAGGAGAGAAGAGAGGAGAGAGAGGAGGGGAGGGATGAAAGGACTTTTGAACCATATGAGCTGAGTGAACAAAAGAATTATTTATAGATTCCAAATGTATTCATCATGACTTTCAGCTTCCTGTTTGTAATTATTGAGGACATTTGCCCATTGAAAAGATATAATATTTTGTTTTGGGTTGTTTATTGCTATGGCAACGGCGCTCTATTTTCAGAAACCCAGAAACCCATGGGTATGATGAGAATGAACCGCATTTGGAAAACTACATTAACCCTTTCTTTGAATTCAAATTTGAATTAATAATGAAGGTAATTTAATGATGCACTATGTAACATTTAACATGGAGAGGTTATTGCTTTGCCTGTAATGTTCCACAGTGTGTCATTAAACTTACTTAATCTAATCCAATCCAGTTTATTTCTATAGCACATTTCATAAACAAAACAGTTTCCAAAGTGCTGCACAATACAAATAAAATATATCCAATAGAAAAATAAAAAATAAAGCTCTACTTAACTCCACTAATCCTCTTTAAGACAACAAAACTTGTAAAACTGGTTAAGAGCAAGAATATCAATAAAAATAAATAAAAGACACAGAGGCGAGAGATAACTCCCGCAGTGTTAAAAGCCAGAGAATAAAATTGGGTCTTAAGACGAGACTTAAAACACTCCACTGTGGGAGGCTCAATTAAAAGTGATTTTACTTCTTAAAAAAAAAAAAAAAACATAAAAAAACATGCATTCATACTGTGAGCAGGGTCACCTCTCCACAGAGCTGACCTGTAATCTGAACTGGCGACAGCTTTCTTGTCATACCGTGGGACATTCCAGGCACAGCAATAACAATTCCAGGGAAATATGCAGATTCTTCATCAGAAAGTTACACAGTGCTCCTTTAAATTCAAAATGAAGGTCAAATTATGATATACACAGACATAATAATTGAAATGCAAATAAAAAGGATGAGAAGATAAATAGCGTTGATTTGAATAAACATAATTAAAAACTGTATGTATGTAAAACGTAATTGATCCGTGCTGCCTAACCAGACAAATAATACACTTTAATTGACTCTACCTGGACGACTGAGGGATTTTACACGCACGTTTTATTATAATAATGCAAAACAGGGCATGTTGTCAAAACATGAATTAATATTTACCCATAACATTTAATGCAGGTGTATGATACCAAATAAAACTCAATGATATTTCCTGCTACAAAACAATAACATCAAGTAACATTGGCTCGATAACTTTAACCAGCGTGTGAAAATGTCAACAAGCTAATCAGATGCTAGGCTCAAGTGCACGCGATTCAACACTTTTCTGAGCTTTGCGTGATAAAAATTTGAACTTACTTTTGTTCCTGTTGTGAGATAAACACATTAGAGCATCACTAAACGCATTATAATCATTTTTATTTTATTTGTAATTAAGTTTAGTGAATAAATTAACCAACTACGGAGCTATTTCTGTTTCACCGAAAGCCATCAGACGCTGTGGTCGTCATGGAGACACCTGTGTTCTCAGAAGGGGCGGGGCTGTTTGCGACTCCAAACCGGATATTCAACTTCAAAATAAAAGCGTAAGTTTCAAAAAGTTCATTATTTGCCATCTAAATTAGGCTTTTAACAGGTTTTATACTGCAAACAATTAGTATAGACCAAATAAACTGAAATAAATACGCTTATAAGTTTGATGTTATAATTTTGACAAAGTACAACACATTGTTTTACTGTGAAATTCAGATCGATACTTTCTACGCTCGCTTTACAAAGTATTCAAGTGCGTTGAAGGCGCCTGTTCATATGGGTCTTCCCGACTGAAAACCGAAAAAGTTTGAAGATTTGATGACAAAATGCCTGCTTTACATCGGAATAACTCATGACAACTGGATCCACAAGTCTGTCTGTAAGAATCAAGAAATCAGTGAAACCAAAATGATAAGAGTCGGACTTATTGGAGTGTTGCTAGTACCACAGGTTAGTATTTTTCTTCTTTTAAAGTAAATTTGCTATAACTTAAATTATATGTTTGTATCTACTTTTTATTTTCTCCAGACAATAGGTTCAACAGGTTGCCAACCCCATGTCAGTCTAATCAAAGAGGAAGAAAAGTGTCACTTACTCAAGCCAGATTTGGCTACAAGTACGTTTTATTATTTAACTTTATATTTCCAACATATACATCTAATTTAACCACAATATTTTAAACGTTTACGTGAAATTACTCGCCTGTCTTTGCAGTCTCACAACTGTTTTTAATGCAGTGCTATAGTGGCATCTAGTGGTTGATATGCGAAACTGCATTCAACAAACCAAACTATGTTATTAGCATAACATTATAACTAAGCCACTGTTTCGGAGTTGATTATAAATGGACTTAAAGGGGCACTGTGTAATTTTTCTAGTGGAGGGTCCATCACTTGGCTGTTTCTATGGAGATGTCATTGCTCTGGCTGGAATGTTCCACAGATTACCTCACGTTTATTCAATTACAGGTGGTTTTATAGCTCAAAAATACCTAAAAAAACTGGCATTCTGACTGTGAGCGGGGTTGCCTCTCCCAGATCTGACCTGTAACTTGGTCTGGTTTGGTCTCCATGAAGTTAGAAAGGTTTAACAATCCAGAAAAGCAATAACATTTCCATGGACCCTCCACCAGAAAACTTACACCATGCATCTTTAAACAGTACATATTATTTACATGTATTTGTTTATTTGAACTTCTTTAGACTGTTCTGCGTTGTGGGACCACCTGAACTGCTGGCCTCCCTCTGTTCCTGGGCAAACAGTCTCCCAGCCGTGCCCGGACTTCTTCAACTCCGATGGTAAGACTCACCTGCGTTCCATTATTCACACGAAGTTGGAAGTTGCATGGGTTAATCATTATCTCGAATCAGATCTGACTAATTTGTTTTGAGGGCAGACTGTGAGAGACCTCTTCCTCTCCTGATTCACTTATGTAATCTGTAATGCCTGGATACACAGATGCCGGGAAACACACTAAAGTCTATGTGCCAGATTGATTTATAATGGGGTTAATGACGGACGGGGTTTTGCAACAGTGAAAACCTCATACGTTGATGTTGTATGTGGGAGTTTAAGCGTTTTACAGCAGTAATTCACAACTTTTTCTTTACCCCCTAACTCAAATAAATGTTTCGTGCGTGTAGGCTTCGAAATGGTGGAAAATTAGGGCTGTTGTCATAGTGATAAACTATTTAAAACAAAAGAACGCATCCCTCTAGCTGATGAATGCACGAGGTGAGACTTCTCATTTGAAATATCTTTTCTGTGTTGCTATGTTTGCTGAGTTGTTCCCCCTAACTCAAATAAATGTGATAAACAATTTAAAACAAAAGAACACATTCATGTAGGTGATGAACTAGCTGGATGGACTTCTCATTTTAAGTATTTTTTCTATGTTGCTATGTTTGTTTCTATGTTTTGAACTGTGAATTTCCTTTAGGATCTAGTTGTCTGTCTTTTGAATGGGGAAAAGTCCTCAACATGAAACCCAAATAAATAGTTGCTTTGAAAATAGGCAAAATTGTGTCTAAAAATTAAGAGATGGTGTGTAACTTTCTGGAGGTTGAAAGTCAACCAGTGCATGATTCTGTGGAAATACAAAGTTAAAACCATACTTCTGAACATTCCCCATTGAGATAGATTTGTTTTATGCCATATTGAGGAATATTATCGCCAAAGGAACAATATTTCCATGGAACAGGCACTTCTCCAGGCCAAAAATGAGTCAGGTTTATGGAGATGCAAGCCCACTCAGAGTAAAGACGCATGTTTTTCTGATTTTCACTGAAATAAAAAGAAACAAAAGCTTATATTCTACTTTTTTATGGCTAAAAAGTTACTTACTGCAGCTTAAATAAATAATAATAATAATAACTCAAATCAAAAAGATGAAAACTGGTGATTTCTGCACATTTGGGATTAATCTGAAGTACTTTCTCACTGGTAGAATACTTGAACCTTATAACCAACAACAAGATATTTACTGCTATTTCTTTATCAATTTCCAAAACTTCTTCTGCTTATCTTTACACCCCCAAAAGTATCTGTATCATATTTTATTTCTCTGACATTGTATCAAGTTTAAAGCTACGTGTTTTATTGTTTTCTGTTTATGTTTGTGCGCAGGCAAAGTGGAGCGAAACTGCACGGCTCAGGGCTGGACAGACCTGCTCGTCCCACATGAGGAAGCGTGTGGATACAACTTTAACAAAACACTGGCCTTTTTGGGAGAGGTGAGTGAGTGTACGCATTTAACATAATGAGAAGATGTTTGTGTAATCCCTCAGTTTTTTATTTTATTTACTTTTCAGAGTGATGTACTGGCGAAACATCTTCCCTCTAAAAATATATAAATAAATACATGTTTTTAGATTTCTTCTTCCACTTTTGCTATGATAATAAGATGATTTTAAGTCATGACCTCACTATGTTGGCCTATTCATACAAAATAAATGATTAAATTGAATTATAGTAATGAAATCTCCATGTAACCAGAATACCAGAATGTTTATACCCAATTTTATGTGGTTGTGTAAATACAGAAATGGACTTTGATCAGGTTCAACATTTGTAGATTTAAAATTTTTGACATATGAAAACACAATATGACTGATTGGCCTGTCACAATAACAAATTCTGAAGCCTGATATACACTAATACGATAATATAAATGATAATATTGAAACTACTTTATGGCACTGACACAAAAACAATGAAGCAAGTTAATCCAAGCAAAACATTCTTAAATAGACAGCCTCATTAAAAGCCATGAGCTGCAACAAATAAACAGCAGAACGAACTAATAATTAGCCATAAAAGTCACTTATTCAACCTTTTACAGCTCAGCTCTTATCGTATTACAACAAAAATAAACCAAATCTCGTCACTTTTACTAAGAAATTGTACACACGATAAATACAGAACCTCAAAATATCTAGTTCCAGCTTTCATACAGTGAACGTCCTAATGACTACAGAAATATAATCATACAAATATAATTTACAGGCTAATTACTGCAATTTAGAGGACTAGGAAACTATAATACAAGTTACTTACAGTGTATACAATACGATATAAATACGATATGTTTAGCTGCTGTTGTGTTTTCAGCAGGCATCAGAGACCCACATGTACTTCTCCTATGTGAAGACCATGTACACAGTGGGATACGCTCTGTCTCTCATCTCCCTCACCATCGCCATCACCATCTTCTGTCTGTTCAGGTGGGAAATCGCAAATATGAACTGCAATTTTAGATTTTAAATGCATATTATGTTAACCAGTGTATTAAGTTTCAATGATACTCAATATATCGCAATAATATCAAGGCACTATTTATGTTAACAGTGATGTTAAAAAGAGATGTTATTGCTTTGAATGTTTCACAGTATGGCATTAAACCTTTCTATCTTCCTTGAGACCAAACCAGAACAAGTTACAGGTCAGATCTGTGGAGAGGGGACCCCACTCACAGTCAGAATACTTGTTTTTCTAGGTATTTTTGAGCTATAAAACCACCTCTAATTGAATAAATGTAAAGTAGAGCTGTTTAATGTCATACTGTGGAACATTCCAGACAGAGCAATGACATCTCCATAGAAACAAACAGGTGACGGACCCCAAACCAAAAAGTTACATAGTGCATCTTTAAATAAATCTGATGGTCCATTTGAAAGAAGCAAAGTTAAACCCGAAACAAAAGAACTGAAAAAGTTCAAGTTAATGTTATAAAGATGCACTATGTTACCTTTCTGGTGGAACGTCTGCCACCTGCTTGTCTCCATGGAGATGTTATTGCTTTGCCCGGAATGTTCCACGGTATGGCATTGATGGAGACAACAATATTTTTGAAGGTACATTTGAGCAGTAAAAACATATATGTAATATAGTTATATAAAAAGTATGGGTTATAAATTTAATGTCATACTGTGGAACATTCCAGGACTAGTAAGATCCGAAGTTAAGGAGGTAGCAAAAATCCACCAAAAAATGTTAAAGGAGTTCTGTAGTTAAAGATTTTTTGTTTGTTTGAGTGCAACTTTATTACAAAAAATGTTAATCCCTTTTAAAATAGACAGTTACAGTATTTAGCCTTAATACAATAACATAACAGGCTGCATTATTATCTAAAGATGTATGTTTGTTTTTGTATTTTATTTATAGAAAGCTTCACTGTACCAGGAACTACATCCACATCCAGCTCTTCTTGTCCTTCATCCTGAGGGCCATCTTCATCTTCATCAGAGACTCAATGCTCTTCACGAATGAGGAGCTGTACCACTGTGACTACTACCCGGTATCAACATATCAACATTTTATTTATCTCAACTATGCTGGGAAATGTTTACACTGCAGATGCATAGAGATAAGTGATAGTTTAGAGAGCTTATGCCAAAAAAATTGCCCAGAATAGCCCAAAAATATAATACAAATGACTTACAATCTCACTTATGTCAAATACAATATGCTTAGATATGTGTCAGGTTAGTGTAGGCTAAAAAAAATCTTAAAATATAAACATTTTGTGGAAAAATTTGTAGTACTAGGTTTCTAAAATAGATCATAGTATTTTTGTAATTTCTTAGCAGTACTTGTATATGTATAACCCATAGACCTATAATTAGTTGAATGTTTATGGGACAGACTGACAAATTCTAACCCAATTCTAAAATATTCCACAGTTAACCACTAGAGGTCACTGAAGAGTTGCATGCTAAAATAATATACATTATACTTCCACCTTCTCATATTTTAACAAATTATTTCTCTGCATCACAACATGTACCCAACTGTAGAAGACACTTAAAGCTCCTATATTACGCAAACTGACTTTTGTGAGCTTTTAGCCGTGTTATAATCCTATTACCTCCTCAAAAACAAACCCAGACTTGTGTTTTGTTTCATTCACATTTTAATAAACCTTTATTATTAGTCTGTCTACATCTCTTCTTTTTGTGATGTTATAAGAAGTAGTTTTTTAGTTAACATCTCCTTTTTAACCTTTAGTTCAGAAGAGATTGGCAATTCAAGGTCTGAAATTATCCAAATAATTCTCGTAAAGACTAAGGATGTAACAATAACCAAAATACTGTGATATTGTATCATCAAAACTCTCTCAATAATATCGTGGGCCATCACAATATATCGAATCACAAGTTTCTTTGCTTAAATTCATTGTTACGGTGCAGCAGTAGCTTAAAAAACAAAAGGAACTACATCGACCATGATCCTTTGCTCCGTTTTGGTGCAAACTACATAAAGAAATAACAGTTCTAAGCACTTTTAAATCTTAGTTCTTTTGGATTACGTAGCATATTCACGATTCTGTTAGCCTCCACAAAATATCGTACTGTGAGATTTGGATCGTTACATCCCCATAGTGAAGCACTTCCTGTATTACCACATGCCAACACAAGGCGGAACAGAGTGGAGTTTTTATTTTATTTAATAAAAGAAATCAGCCTAAATATCCAGGGTTTGTGTGTTAAGCACGTGTGAATGAAACAAAACACAACTCCAGGTCTGTTTGCGATGAGGATACAACATTATAACATTAGAAAATAGTGTAATAAATAAACACTCTGATACTAACTGTCCTGGCTGTTGTAGGTGGCGTGTAAAGTGGTCCTGATGTTTTCAAACTACTCGATTCTGGCGAACTACAGCTGGCTCCTGTCCGAGGGGCACTACCTCTTCACTCTGATCACTCGCTCCTTCTTCTCCCTCAAGAAGTATCTCACCTGGTACATCATCCTGAGCTGGGGTAAGACCTAGGAACATAAAACAAACAACTCAAACTGTGTTAATAATGTAAAAAGAAGGTCATATATTGGCTGTATAAAAGGAGCACTATGTAACTTTTCTGGTGGGTCCTCGGCCTGCTTGTCAGTACAGAGGTTGAAAATTTTACAACTCAATGGAAATGTTCATAAAAGTATTCCAATTGCGATAAGATCCAGAGAGCTCATTTTAAACATGTCATCAAGCACCTTTTACCTAAATAATAGCAGTCTTTGAATTTTGATAATTGCATCTGCTCAAATTGAAAAACCCTGAAAAACCTTATTACTGTGAGTGAAAAACCTGGGTAATCTGCTTGTTGGCATGGAGATAAACATGTTTAATGCCTCACTGTGGATCACAAGCAATAACATCTCCATGGAAACGAGAAAAGTCGACGAACCCTCAACCAGAAAGTTTCATAGAGCCTATTTACCTGCAGGATGTACTTACAGCCCGTCTCTTTTCATTTGCAGGAGTCCCACTTCTTACCATTGTGTGCTGGGGAATCGCTAAATATTTGTACGAAGACGAAGGGTAAATATAGAGATTTTGGTTTTTATTTTAGTTTATTTTAGTAGGTTTTAATTCTGAATATGATTGAATTCAAAAGGTGTTGGGAAACCAGAAGACACGAGTGGATTTGGTGGATCCTGAGAGTCCCAGTGCTCCTGACCATAACAGTAAGTATTTGTCTTCTTTCTTGCTTATTTTAATTGACAGTAAAATTTTAAAAAATATAAGTATTATTTTTATTTTTGTTCCAGATGAATGTCATATTTTTCCTGGGGATTTTGCGGATCATTGTGAGTAAACTCAGAATGCCCGACGCCCAACGCAACGAGCTCAAACAGTACAAGTAAGAAACACTAACTAAGTTTATAGAAGGGTTTGCTTAAAGGCGTATTGTGTAACTTTTCAACCTGTTTGCCTCCATGGAGATGTTAATGCTTTGGTTAAATTATCCACAGTATGGCATTAAACTAATCTGTCTCGCATTTACTCAATTACAGGTGTTATTTACAGCTATAAAAAATATCTTTAAAATGTTAATTCTTACTTAGAGTGGGGTCGCCTCTCCACAGATCTAACCTGTGATTTTGTTTGCAAGTCTCCATGGAGATTCCTAAAGTCATGGCTATACTGTGTCACATTCTTTTTGGAGAGAAGCAGGTGATGGACCCTCCACCAGACAAGTTACACAATGCGCCTTTGCGGTCAAATTACAAAACTAAACGATTTTTGTATTGTTTATCATTATTTTAAAAAGCAATGCAATTTTTTATTTTTTTTTTTGCTACTTCTTTTACTTTGTACTAGTGTATTTGAGACCAGCCTCAAGACCATTTTTTAGGGTCTGTTTTTTATTTTTTCATATTTTATTACGGCTGCTGTCGGCAATAAACTTGTACCGGTGTGAGGGAGCTTGCGGGATTTCTCACTGCAGCCTGTGCACTTGTCTACAGTCCACGGACAAAAAAAAATCCTACCTACTTTATTCACTTTGAAGTAGTTTTCTGTAAAGTGCCAGTGGAAGTTCTCTTAAAGAAGGGGTTCTTAAACTGTGGGTGAGGGCCCAAAAAAGGGGCACAGAGTGTTTCAATGTAGTGCAGTTTGCTTGGCTCATTTTAAGCTTAAATGAGCATTAATCAGATAAAATGGAGATAGATTTATAAAAACACCGATATATATGTGCAAAAATAACTGTAAAATACAAATAAATGTAGATAATGACAAAGATGGTCTCGTTTTGGTCTCGATGGGCTGTGATCTTATCATGGTCTCGACCTTTAAAAGTCTTAACCTTGTCTCGGTCTCGGGAGTCTGTGGTCTTGGACAGGTCTCGGTCTCGATTAATGTTGTCTTGACAACAACTCTACTTTGTACTATTACTTTCTGTTTGGATCAATTCTCCCTCCCAAAACAACACTAGAGGTCACTATAGAGCTGTGTAAAAATGCTATTCTGTTTTTACTACTGCTTTTACTAGTACTAACACATGGTCAGCGTTTGTAGTTTTTGTTTTATTATAGCTGAAATTATTGAGTCAAAAAGTATATTAAAATATCGCAATAATATTAATAACTGCAGTTCATAATTTTTTGTTTCTATTATTTTCTAGGAGGCTGATCAAGTCCACTTTCTTCCTCGTGGCGTTGTTTGGTCTGCAGTACATAATCTTTGCCTTCTTACCGGTCTCTGTCAGCAGTTTAATGTTCAGAATATGGACTTTTGCAGAGCTGGCCCTGTCCTCCACACAGGTAAACCAATAGACCTGTAAAACAATAACAAAGTACTGGATTTTAAAGCATTAATTGATTTTACTCACTTGTTTTGGGCAGGGTTTCGTGGTGGCTGTCCTCTACTGCTTTCTGAATGGAGAGGTAAACAGTTAAAGTTGCTCTCATGTAATATAATATAAAATCTGACATAAAGTTCTACATAGTCTCCATAAGAACAAATTACCTAAATATTTAAGATTTTTAACCATAGAACTCACTATTTTAATCTTATCTGATCAATTGCTAATAATTATGTTAGTTGAGTTCGAGTTTAAACCTTTCCACCTGCTTGTTTCCATGGACATGTTATTGTTTTGCCAGAATGTTCCACAGTATTGCAATAAACTTATCCATCTCTGTGGAAAGAAGTTGACAGCCAAGTTATAGGTCAGATATTAGCGTCATTTTGAGCAATAAAAACACCTCCAGTTTGGTAAAAGTAAGAGAGATCATTTTAAATTATACTGTGGCAGAGTCCTGCACCGGGTCAGGTACCTGCGGGAGTGGGCAAATAGTTGCTGAAACGGGTGAGTTTTAATGTTCTGGAAGTCCTGGTTTAGTTGTGGTTTAGTCCAGTTTTAGTCCTAGTTCAGTCCCGGTTTAGTCCTCTTTGTTCAGTCCTGGAATCAGTCCTAGGTTAGTCCTAGTTAGTCCTGGGTTAGTCCTGGTTCAGTCCGTGTCATTGTTTCTTCTGCTCAGTAAATAATGCCTATGAAGTGATGAGAGTCGAGTCGTGTCTGTGAATTCGTATTTGCACTGAAGAAAGCGTAACCATTTTATTTAATTCTGTGATTGTAATTCTTGAAGTCGTAACTTTTCAGTTCATATTCTGATGGATGCTTCAGTTAGAATGCTTTTAATCTGTGTGGATTTATCACAGGCACAGGCGGGTAACGGGTGGAATGTTAAGGGGTCCAGGTGGGTGCGGGTTTAACTTTGATATAATCTCGGGTTAATGGGCAGGTGCAGTGCTGTAATTGGAAATTGTAAATGGACCCATGAAGGACTCTGTACTGTGGGACATTTCAGGCACTGCTATAACATCACCATGGAGACAAGCTGGTGGCAGGTCACTCATTAGAAAAGTTACATAGTGCATCTTTAAAGCTTCAAACGAACACACGCTCTGCCTCTGACTCAGGTCCAGCACGAGATCCAGAGGAGGTGGAAGAGATGGAGGATGACCAGACTTCTCCCCAGCAGACCCAGGCAGTACCGGGGCTCCATCAGCCAGAGCGGGTCCCCCCTCACACAGGTCTCCATGCTGCCCTGCTCCCCATCCTCGCCCGGAAAGCACACAGACACTGCGTACATGTAAATCATTTAGATATTGCAGTAATAACAGCTTAAAGGTTCTATATTACACAAAATGGACTTTGTGAGATTTAAGCCATGTTATAATGCTGTTATCTTCTCAAAAACAGACCTGGAGTTGTGTTTTGTATGGTATGAATTCAGTTCTGGCGTTTAAGGTTGCATTCACACTTAGGCCCACAACATTAAACTAGGACTTAAACCGAACCTAAGACTAGACCAGGACTAAACCAGGACTACAACGTGACCAAACCAGAACCAAAGAGAAATACCACACACTGTTAACCTGCGTGTCACTTTGCCCAAGAACTACAGATGAAAATAAATAAGTGTGAATGCAGCCAAATATGCAATGCAGCTTTTTATTTTATACAACCATTTTAGCTGTATAATTTGCAGTGTCATCAATATTCCCTGGGGGTGTGAAGCTAACTGAAAGCACTGCTCTGTCTGAAGCTCTGTTACTCAAGTAGACTTTAATCCGAGCTTTATTTGAACACAATCTGACCAGAAAAAGCGGAATTGGTTAGAACAATTGAGATGATTTGTGCAGTTAAACAAATCTTTTACACATAAAATCGCTGTCTCAGTTTGTCACTCTCACCTTTTTGTTGAAACTCAAACTCCTAAACAGGACCTTGATCATTTTGTATCTTTTCTTTTCAGTTTGCTCAAATTTTGGCAGATATTGCTAATGTGTGTCTTGTGTCACCATGGTAATTGTTGAAAATTCCACCAGTAGACATACATGTAGTACACACTGAGCGCGATGTCACTACAAAGCATCAATACGAAAATAATTGCCATAGTTAACAGGTAGGACACGGGACCTGTACTCTTCAGAAGTCATGAGATATTAAATAAGCGTTAATTTAAATGTCTGTATTGTGTGTACATTTCGTTTGTCATGTTATTATTGAAACTACGTTGTGTTATATCTATTGCTCATCACGTATTTCATAATAAAAATGTTTAAATTCCATGTTTTTCCTTCAGTGATTCCACCACTTTTATATACTTGGCTTCAGTTTCTTCTTCAGAGTCCTGTTATGTTGAAAATGTGAAAAAATATGGTCCAGTGTTGACAAAATACAGCAATAATTTTATTTTTAAAAAGACAGCAAAACCCTTCTGTCTTTCTTTGCTTTCCGTACGTTCCATTTCTCTTTTGCCACAAAGCTCCTCGGTTCACGGTGCATTACGTATATTTTCTAGTCGAGAGGCGACGGCTTGCTTGTTTCCATGGAGATGTTATTGCTTAGCTGAGAAATTTCCACAGTATGGCATTAAAATTTTCTATCTGCTGGGGACAAGCAGGTGATGCAAGGTTAAGTTACACTGCACATAATATATTTGTTTATGTACAGTGTAATTATATTTATTTATTTTTGCTTCTTTAATTGTTTTATAAATCAAAAGTGATAAGCATGTTTTTTTTTTTTAGCTCTTTCTTATTATTTTCATCTGTGTCCGAGTCCCTAGTGGATCAATACAGTTTGTCTACGTCTAATAGTAATAGTAATCTTATGAGAATTATGAGAAATTAGGACCGTTGCCATAGTGATTAACAATTTAAAGCCAAATATTTATTAGAACCGTTACTGTCATAGTGATTAACGTATAAATAATGTTGTTTTTTCAAGAGTTTTGAAAATAAACGTTGCTCAGAGCTCGGCGTTACGATTCAAACAAGTACTCTGAAAATAAACAAACACAATTCAGTTGAAATCTAAGGTTGGCGCTCGTCGGATCGTTTTGGGTGCAGAAGATTATCGAGCGACAGACGGAAAAGATGGAGGCCGAATCTGCATCAGCTGTGAGTCAATAATTACTGTTAAAACTCTCATTTCATGATCTAGTTTTATCTGTAGATTACTGAAAAAGGAGACATGTGCAGGACAGAATGAGGAGAGGAAAGGAAACAGTTTCAGCAGGTTATCAGTAGCTTTTTTTAAATTCAGACTTATATTTTTGCGTAAATTAATGAGTATCCTGTACTATTTTGTGCTCTATGTAATTGTATTCTGGTGAACGGTTCATTAGCTGTGTAAGTTTTTAAGTGAAGCATCCAAAAACGTCTGTTCTCCATGGAGATGTTGTTGTATTATCAGGAATGTTAAACAAAATGGCCTCAAACTTTGTAATCTCCATGGAGACAAGCGAGGGACTCCATCAAAGCAAGTATTTTCGGCAATACAAACGGCTGTAATTGAATAAATACAAATTGTTTATACCATACTGTGTGGAACATTAAAGGCAATAACATTTTTAGAGTGAGAAAAATCTAATAAAATGAAATGTGTAAATAAACATAATAATAAAGTGTTCAAGGTGCATTGTTTTCGTTCAGACGCTTTTCTCCATGGAGATGTTAATGCTTTGTCCGGAATCTTTCACAGTATGGTATTAAAGGGACAGTTCAACATTTTGGACAAAGGGTCTTATTTCCTGTAGACATGTGGACGCACTTTTTTGAAATATTCCCTCCAGTCCTTGTATTTGCAGAGGTCGTTGGTGCTAGGCTAGTGCATGTCAATGGTCACTGGTAGCCTGACACTAAAAACAGTCTTACCCACTCCACAGTGCACCCGAGGCAAATCTATTATTACACCAGACTGTCAATGTGAATGTCTGTGTCAATAGAATCATTTTAGAAATAAAACTAATCTGGTATCGCATGAATCGTTGCACGTTGAGGGATTATTTTCTCAGCAGCGGCGGAATTTTACTCTGCTCTCGTTAGTTGTGATGATATGAACGTGGCCATAATCAGTGTTGGGAAGGTTACTTTTAAAATGTAATCCCCTACAGATTACAGATTACACACCCCAAAATGTAGTTTGTAACGTAATCCATTAAATTACTTAAAGTGAGTAACGTAATCTGATTACTTTGGATTACTTGATATTGTCATGTTTTTTTAAATGACATGAATGTAGCACCACATCCTGAAAATTCTTGTTTGTTGTCTTCAAATTGTCTGAGCCCAAGTCTCCATGAATAAGCAACTGTTTACTGTAGAGAAACAAAGACCACGAGATCTTAATATAAGAGGTTTTGTCTGTTAAAAGACAGTAACAAGATAAGACTTTCCTTCACCAGATTAAAAAATATTATTGATAGAGAAATAATTTTTTATATGAGATCACAGTGAGGCGAAAACTTGTCATATGTACTTTTTATTAACATTTTGGTATTGTGTTTGTGAGTAGAAATCAAGTGATGAGAGCTCTGCTGGAGACAAGAATCAGTGAGTGGATATTTAAAACTAGATAAAATAGTGTGTAGTTTATTCAGTGTTGTATTCATCCTTGAGTTCTAAACTTTTTCCTTTTCCCTGTCTTTTCTACTAACTCAAATCATGACAAAATTTTGCAAATGAATAGATTCTACTCATTTTTTCACTGTACTGAGACAAGCCCACCGCAGAGCCCCACACAGGAAGAGACCTCAGACGACGAGGATCTAACACTAAACATGATCCCGCACCAGGACAGCGACAAAGACAGCACCGACTCCTCCTGCAAGTGCCTTGAAAACAACCAGGAGACCGATGCAGATGTCCCCCACGCTGAGTAAGTCGACTAACTTGCTGGTGCTTACTTGACGTTCAGTTGTGTCAAAAAGAGCTTTCAAAATTCCAAAGTTTTCAGCGCAATATCTGAAAACAAACATGGAAATAGAACGTGTCATTTGTAAAGGAACTGTACGTAAAACTGTGAATTACATAAACATGACACAACGTAAGCATGTTCAAATCAAATATAGCCCTAACTGGTATTGCTGATTTCATTTAATTACAAGTTGTTTACGTTATAATGTGTTGGTTTACACATAAAATGCCGCTCTCTGATCTGAATGGTCACTCCCTTAAACCCCAGCACCAGCAGACAATCATTAACCAGCGCTAGTGCAGCTTTTGCAGCTCAGGGAGGCCGTAGAAGTGACTTATGCGACTCTCTACAGCTCAAATCTGTTTTTATGACAACAAAAATTCCACAAAGAAAATACTGAGCCCCAAAATCTACTGATCCAGAGTCGATATATTAAACAGTAAGTCCATACAGTAATTATCGTGACAGGCATAAGTCAAAGTTGCTTTCATGACATTATCGCCTTTATTTATCCGTATTTCTAGAACTGTAAATCTCGAACACACTCAAATTTTAGCTAAATTGAGAAAACTGCATTCACACGTTTAACACACAAACCCTGCATATTTAGGCTGAGTTCTTCTCTCAAACTGAAAACACTCAAAGTGAAACAGAGCATTTTGAGCTTTGGAGATGTAGACAGACTGATAATAAAAGATAACTCAAACGTGTGTGAATGAAACAAAACACAACCCCACAACTAATTTTAATGCATTTTAGGACAGTGGTTTCTGATAGACGCTTATCCACTTCGACCTGGACTGAGCCACATGGTGCACAGGAGCCTGATATGAAACTGTCTTCAGATCTAGACAACCTCACTCTGGAGTCCTTCAAAGTACGTATTAGACAGGTTTTCATGTTTGTTTGTTTTTTAAATAATTGGGATAATACCTGTATGGTGAATATTTATCATAGTTTTATCAGATAAAGTCAGTTTGTGAAGAGATTTTTGATCAGACTAGTTGAAAATCACAGGAAGTAGCGAAGTAGTACTAGCAGTAAAAAGCAATCCCTGTATCTGTGTCCAAAATTTTAGAACAATTTATGCATTTTTCTGACAATTTAAACCTTAAGCTCTCAAATAAAAGTGTTGTTGTGAATTTTTAGAGGTGAAGTCATAACTATTGAGTAAATTAGACAAGCTTTGGGTATGGTTTACGGCATGGTTGCTATGGCTATGGCTATAAATCTCACCAAAATGGTCAAACTATGAAAAACTAGATAAGATTTTTAGTTACATTTGAAATATAATTAAATGTTACAGTGTTTTCCATTAATAGAGGAGACTATGTTGCCCCCCTAAAACTATCGAACTAACGAATAATAATTTATGATTGTAGTGTTATTTTTAATCTGTAATCCTGTTTTTTGTTCAGTAAAATCAATAAGTGACATTTATACACCAAATATTGCATTAAGGAAAACGACTGAAATACGGATTGCTTGTGCTGCTTGTATTCTGTTAAAATGTGTCGTCTAACCTGTGATTTGCACTTTCAGGAGAGGGACCTGATGCAAGAAAAACCCAACACGACAACTGTGGGAACCTCTCTCCCGTCGATTCAAGAGGACGGAGCGAAGGACGAGCCAGATGCCGCCGCCGCCGCCGCCGCTTTGGATCCTCCTCTCCCTCCGAACGATCAGCGAGTCCAGGAGGCCATCGCGTTCCTCACTGTGGCGGTGAGTGTGCAGTTAAAATCCTGTGTTTTTTGTTTTTGTTTTGTTATCCACAGGTTCCAGAATGATCCAAAATTAAGACCGTTGCCATAGCGACTAACAGATTTGACCAAACAATCAGAATATACTGTAGATTACTTTTTAACCTAATGGGAATGTGAGTACTGCAATAATTTAATTCCTAAATTCATTCCTTTCCTGCGTATTTAAAGCCGCACTATGTCACATTTCTGGTGGAGCGTTCGCCACGTGCTCGTCTCCGCGGAGATGTTATTTCTTTGCCCAGAATGTTCCACAGTACTGCCCAAGCTACAAATCATATATGTGGAGGTATCAAAATATCGTTTAACGAGATAAATTTAGATGAACAAGCCGGGTTTAATGCCGTGCTGTGGAACTTTTCAGACAAAGCAGTAACATAACAAGCAAAACAATTCATAAAAAGTTACGTATCATGCTCTTTTATATAACTTAATGTACAATGACCTACGACAAAAGCATGAATGACAATATTTGGAACCACTTAAAAGCAATCGTTGAGTTTCCAGTGCACCCATGCTTCATTTATTTATTTATTTATTTATCGACAGGAAAAACTGGAGGCCCGGAGGAAGTCACGGTCACTGTGGAGGAGACTGTTGTACTGCGTCTCTGAGTGCATCACCGACCCCCCTCCAGAGTAGACCATCAGAAAGTTACGTAGTGTAGATTTAGTTAGTTAGTTGGACAAGAAAAATTTATTAAAAAAAGCTGGAGTTTCTCTTTTAGTAAATATAACTATCTGAATGAATATTAGTACTGCAAAAACTGCAATTTTCAAAAAGTCATCTTATTAAATCCTTGAAATGACAATGAATTCTTGATTTTTTGTCAACCACCTCTTTTCACTTAAAGACAGAGATTTTAACATACTTTTATATAATCTACTATATTATATTATCTATACACTGTACATGGGCTTCAGATTCCTTTTATAGGCAGCATTTTTAGAACAAATAAATATGTACCAGTAGTTTTAAATGGTTAATTATTATGAAAATGGTCCTAAATTTAAATTTTTATTTTTTTTTTTACCCAAACAGTAGATGAACTGGACAGAATTTTGAGAATGAATCCCAATTAGTCCTGCTTCATTTTTTGCTCATGGTCACACCTCCAGTCTCTCCTATACTACTGCCATTTGTTTACATTGAAGTAAATAGAATAAAACTCACCAATATAGACCGTATAGAGAAGACATTTCCTGTTTTCTTACTTTAGTCTCCTCTGTTGCTTTCAAAAAGGCTTCCTGTATGAATAGATAAAAACAGATAGTATTACGTAATATTTTGTCTATTAATAATAACTTTCTATACACATTTTTGCTGTTATAAAAGATGGAAATACTTACAGTCATGATTTCAGCAGAACCACACGTGCTTAGCTACAGTTCAGACTCTGTTCTTCTCAGCGTGCACTAGGGGTCTAACGATATCCAAGTCTCACGATACGATATTGTCACGGTATGAACCTCACGGTACGGTATTTACTGCGATATCGTGGGAAAGCTCGCGATATGGTGGGGAGGCTCACGATTAGGGATGTAACAATATCCAAATCTCTCGGTAAGATATTTTCACGATATGCATCTCACGGTACGATATTTATTGCGATATTTTTTGGAGGCTGACAAAACTGTTAATATGCTACTTTTTCCTCTTAAAATGCCTTGACAAGACTTAATCCAAAGAACTAAGACTTAAAATTGTTTAGAACTGTTATTTCTTCTTGTAGTCTGCACTGAAATGGAGCAAAGAATCATGGTCTATGTAGTTCCCTCTGTTATGCTGCACCAACTCTTAATTTAAGCAAAGAGACTTGTAATTCGATATATATTGTGATGGTCCATGATATTATTGTGAGAACTTTGACGATATGATATCACGATATTTAGTTTATTGTTACATCCCTAGTGTACACTTGTCTCACTCATCTTGCAAATCAAGTTTTAGGGCGTGTGGCGTCAGACGGGACCTCAACGCACATGATTTGAAAACTAAAAACTGCCATCAGATTAAAACTCAATAATCCCACAAATCTCTTTCAGTTATGTATGTGTATGGAAAGCTATTTTCAGCGAATTCCCAACAGGGGGCGCCAGGACTGCACTTGCTGCGATACTGAGGAGTGAAGCAGTCTGAATACTAGTTTGGATTGTAAAAAGGCAAACTCATATTCAAAACTAGTCCTCTGTCCTTGGTTTTCAGTGATGAATAAGTGATGAAAATGTATCACCGTTGTCATGGTAATTAACAACTCAACACAAAATGGTCGACTACATGAAATCATACGTGTACCATTATTTTTGAACAGCTCAGTAACCTAAAAATCATGAGTATTTTACCAAAAGTGAATGTTTCATTTTGCTGCAATTAACAACTTGACCAGCAGATGGCAGTGCAGTATAACGCCAAACACTATTCAGCACAGACAGGTCAAAGAAAACAAACAACAACAAAAAAACTAGAAAAAAGCATTTTAATGTACAGTGTAAGAATGTTTGCATACACACATTTTACATTGTACTAAAAAGATCAAGTAACATCTTTGGCACAAACAGATAAAAAAAAAATCTTAAATCTTTATAGTCTTAATCTCTGCATAATATACATCTGATTCAAATAATGTTAATAAATAAATTTTTTTAGGAATAGTAAAAGTAAAAGTGACATACCTACAGTTGATTTTTTATTTATTTAATTTTTTTTTTCGTGACACTGACATAAAGATAAAAATTAATAAATAATAGAGTGTCGTAGAGTGTCCTGCTAATTAAAGGCTGTTGACCGGGGCCAGTGTGGCATGAGTCAAAACAGCAGCATCAAAACAAGGAGCAAAACAGGTGACACAAAGCACACCTCATTAGTACAACATGAAATTAACAGAAGTTCAAGGAGAAAACTTGTGATTGAATAAAGCAGTGGGCCATAACATTATAACCATCTATCTGGAGACACTGGGAAAGTCCTACGCGAGACGAGCGGATTCTCTGACCCAGTTTTTCTTGATCATTAGTCAATTAATTTATTCTTAATTCTAGCAATTTTTCAGTCATGATTCTTCGTGCAGCTTTATATCTTTCTGCAGCACGTCTTTTAACCGGCACACATCATAGAGAAAACATTGTACCTATTCTATTCTCATTGCACTGGCTCCTCATTCATTTTAGAGTTAATTTAAAAATGTTATTGTTTGTTTCCCAAAGACTGGGTCGCGATCCTCAGGTGGTTCGCAAGAGATTTTTTTAGGGTCGTCTGATAAGTGCCTGTTGTGCTCTCTTGCTTCACCCTGGACTGGATTGCGCTACAAAAACGCAGACATTCCCACCTATCGCATTAGAAGTGTCTTTTTGTAATTATTTTATTGACTATTTTGTTTCAATATTGCTGGTTCAATTGAATGTTGAAAAGAAACAGAAATGGGCTACATTTAATGTCCAAATAGGCGACTTATGCGTACATTTTATTGCTGCTTCAATGACTAAAACTTGAGTAATACTAATTGTTCAGAGACACGATCACTCAGTCAACAATAAAATATCCTCATTAATGTTCAATAATGGTCAAATCCACCTTTTTTTGTGATTTACGAATAATGTCTATTGACTTGGGTCGCCAAGGTTTGTGACTTTTAAAATAGGGTACCCCAGAAAAAACGTTTGGGAAACACGCTTTTAAAGCACGTCATGGACTGGCCCCAACGTACATTTCAGACCTGATTCCCTCATCGCTACACTCCTTCGCGCGCTGAGGTCTGAGGGCCAGCTACAACTTGTCGCCCCAAAAAAAAAACGAGACTCAAAAGCAGGGGTTGACCGGGCCTTTTCGGTGGTTAACCCCAAACTTTGGAACGCTCTCCCCCTTCTTCAGTCGATTCTTTTAAGTCTCATTTAAAAACACACTTTTACTCACTGGCTTTTAACACGCCGTGAGAACTGTGCGGTCCTCTGACTGTTTTTTTATTGATTTTATTGGCTATTTCTCTATTTGCTAACTTTAGCATTTTTTGTTTTTTACTGACTCACTTATTTATTTATTTTATGCTTTATTGTATTTAATGTGTTAATTTATATTGTGCCTACTCTGTGCAGCGCTTTGGAGTGTTTGCGTTGGTAAAATGTGCTATAAAAATAAAGTTGGATTGGATCTTTTTAAAAGGATAGATCTACAGCCAATCCTTAATACTGAACTGGTGGGTGAAGTGACTTGCTCAAGGACACAATCGCACTCACTGGGCAGAGCTGAGATCACCACAAATTTCTTTTAGAGGCCAGGGTCCACTCACCGGTAAGAAAATATGCCAATCATAGCCCTATCAGTCCCTGCAACAGTAAGTCATGTTTAAAACCAAATCTGAATGAAAGATTTTCTCATAGTATTTACTTAATTGGTGTCATTGTTTCCATCAAAATATTGTATGTTTGGGCTTGTCACCACTGTTCTAACTCATCAAATTTGAAGACGAGGAGGAATTACGTGACCATACCAACTTGTCAAAGCCTGATCCCATCAGATCTCAGAAGCTAAGCAAGGTCGGGCCTGGTTAGTACTTGGATGGGAGAATAGTGGGAAAATCAGGTGCCACAGGGGGGCGCCAGTCACAAAAAACGTTGTTGTGTCTTTAGGCAAGACACTTCACCCACATTGCCTAGTATGAAAGTGGCGTGTGTGTGCGTGCGATATAAAATAAAGATTTAGAATTAAGTGCTAGCCGTTTACATATTTCAATCACCATGTTGCCTTTATCGTGTTGAAAATACTATATTCTGGCATGTTTTTGATCTTTGATGATAACAGGGTACAAAAGTTTTACCCCATCTTTAAAATATGCCACTTACAAAGAGTGACCATGATAAAAACATAACGTACACTTCACTTGTCAGTAGTTAAAATGCTACGCCTGATTTTTGTACAACAGAAACACTGAAAATACAAACACAAACATACAACTTAGTGCAACAAAGTTCATTGGAAAATATCTACATTATGCTTTTAACTCTACAGATTTAGAGGACAGTTAGAAAAGCCTGGAGAGGAGCCTTCAATGCGTTTCAAGGATATATTCGTCATTCATTCCGGCGGGAGTTAGCATACTAGCTTGATCTCAGACATGGCTGACATCTTCCAGCCCGTTGCGGCCGTCTTCGTCTGGCAGCGTGAATCTAATATTCCGACTCTTCTCCCAGCCTCGGCGGATTTTCCCGAGTTTGAGAGCGACGCAGGGCAGGAAGAGGAGCGAGCGGAGAATCAGGACCAGGACGGGGGGGATGACCACGAGGAGGAAGGTGGGGGGGAGGTAGAAGTGGTACTGCTTTGGGTCGAACGCTCTGGTCCAGCCGAACAGACAGGTGTGGAGTGTGGCCATGAACAGAGCGCAGTGGCCCAGAGACGACTGAAAAACAACAAAACAGGAACTGTGGAGATTCATTCTGGTAAATAAGACACTTGATACTATGCAGTGACATCAAACTGGGGGTGTTCTACATGTATTTCTAATGGTGGAATGTTCAGCAGTTATCATGAAGACACAATGCGCACATTCGCAATCAATCATCCTTATGTAACAGATAATACTCCCCACAACTGTACAACTACTCACTCTTTTGTAACAGATAATGCTCCCTACAACTGTACAACAACTCACCCTTATGTAGCAGATAATACTCCCTACAACTGTACAACAACTCACCCTTATGTAGCAGATAATACTCCCCACAACTGTACAACTACTCACTCTTTTGTAACAGATAATGCTCCCTACAACTGTACAACAACTCACCCTTATGTAGCAGATAATACTCCCTACAACTGTACAACTCACACTTATGTAACAGATAATACTCCCTACAACTGTACAATAACTCACCCTTATGCAATGGATAATACTCCCTACAACTGTACAACAACTCACCCTTATGTATACTCCCTACAACTGTACATACTCCCTACAACTGTACAACAACTCACCCTTATGTAATTGATAATAATCCCTACAACTGTACAACTCACCCTTATGTAACAGATAATACTCCCTACAACTGCACAACAACTCAGCCTCATGTCCTGTCAATCATCATATCATTGTTGCACTGTCTTTCTATGACCTCTCGTATAAAGCTGTGATTTTATATTTTATTATTTAGCTTTCTATTTTATTTTGACTTGTACATTTACGTTTATATAATTATGTCTTATTTAACACCTGTCTCTTGCTATCTTTTTTAGAATTTATTATTACCATTTATATTTTTGCTCTTTGTTATTATATTTATTGTGATGTTTGAGCTGCTGTGTCCAAATAATTTCCCTTGTGGATCAATAAAGTTTGTCTAAGTCTAAATAAGAGTCAGGTTTGTTGAGATGCAATCCCACTCACAATAAGGAAACACATTTTTCAGTGAAATAAACAACCAAAATGACAAAAAAACACGCTTTTATTTTAGTCTATTTTTTGGCTAAAAGGTTACATAATGTGGCTATAATGTTGTTTTAAATATAATTGTTTTGCTTGGAATCTTCCACTGTGTGTTATGGGGGATATAACAATATCCAAGTCTCACGATACGACATCGTCCCAGCATGAACCTCACGGTACATCGTTTATTGCGATATCGTACGGAAAACTCACAATATGGTGGGGAGGCTCATGATTAGGGATGTAACAATATCCAAATCTCTCGGTACGATATTTTCACGATATACATCTCTCGGTATGATATTTATAGTGATATTTTGTGGAGGCTAACAAAACTGTTAATATGTGACTTTTTCCTCTTAAAATGCCTTGAGAAGACTTAATACAAAGAACTAAGACTTAAAAGTGCTTAGAATTGTTATTTCAGTCTACACTGAAATGCAGCAAAGGATCATGGTCTGTGTAGTTCTCTCTGCTTAAATTAAGAGTTACAGTGCAGCAATAGCTGAAAAAAGACAGAGACTTCGTAATTCGATATATTGTGATGGTTCACAATATTATTGTGAGAACTTTGACGATACGATATCACAATATTTCGGTTATTGTTACATCCCTAGTGTGGTATTATCCATACTTCATCCATCATCCATCTTGTATTTGTTCAATTATGGATTATGATGCTCAGTGAAAAACATTTTCATGATCAACAGGCTTGCCTCTCCACAGATCTGGCCTAGTGACATCACCTACTTGTCTCCAGAGTCAAAACATCTAAATTGAACCCATCTATACGTCTTACTGTATCAAATAAAGTATTGGAGTCAGTGCGTCCTCTAACCAGTCACGTTCATTAGCTCATGAGGCTCGTAGCTGATGGAGAACAAGAGGATGCGCTCTGACCCAACACATGTGACCTATATGAACCGAGCTGACTCATGCTGTCAGTAATTAGTGAACACAGAGGCAAATCAAGTCAGCAACACCTTCTATGTTTGGTCCCAGGGGTTTTATACATTAAATATTATGTACGTGGTAATGGGGGGAGAGCTGTAACTGTCATGTACTCGCCATTGCACCTCAAGCCACTGCAGCTGAGTGGAGAGAAAATGTTTTAGAACTGAAAAAAATATCTCATTACTATTTAAATTACTAGCCAGCAGTTCACAACAGAAAAAGGAAAATTGGGGGAAAAGTTAAATGCTGATTTTGAGATATTTGCAACTGATAATGACTGCAAAAATTCTACTAGCTTTTCCACAACAGTTTGAAATAATAGTATGGGGAATTGAATTTGATTCATTATAAGTACTGCTACTACTACTACTACTACTACTACTACTACTACTACTACTACTACTACTACTACTACTACTACTACTACTACTACTACTACTACTACTACTACTACTACTACTACTACTACTACTACTACTACTATTATCAGAATTACTGCTACTAGTACTACTGCTATTGCTACTATTATTATTAGAAGTACTGCTACTACTACTATTACTAATGCTGCTACTACTGCTGTTACTACTATTACTATTACTATTAGGGTACACTTTCTTGCCCCACCTAGTAGTACTTAGTAGTAGTAACTACATCTGCTACTACTTCTAACTTCTTTTTCTCATACAACTATTATTTCAGCTACCACTATTGTAAATTGGTATTATAGTGTATGAGCATTAGTGAACTAAACTCATGCAACACAATGCAACACAAACACAAAACACAAAACAAATACAAAACAATACACATGATACTTGTAGGTAAATGGGAAATTATCTAGTGTCCAGCCTAAGGACATGTCAGCAGAATGCAATAACAGTATAATATGTAGAACTATCTGTATTTGGGAACAGAGCAAGTACTAAAGAGTGGATTTTCTATTGGTACGACTTACCAAAGACTTATCATATTGTATTGTAACTATTTTTAACAAAAGGACAGATCCACATAAGGACACAATGCAGCAAATCTGTGTTTAAATATCGTTTCCTCATCACATACATACCTGGAGTTGTTTCATTCACACATGTTTAAACACACAAATTCTGCATATTTAAGATGACGTCTTCACTCAAACAGAAAATGCCCTGTTCCACCTTGTGATGTCACGTGGTAATGCAGGGAGTACTCTACTGTGTTTTAAACTCATAATTTCAACCACTCTCTATTGAACAAAAGGTAAATGGGACTTGAAAACTACCACTTCAAGACATCACAAGGTGGAACAGAGCATTTAGAGTGTTTGAGATGTAGACAGACTAATAATACAGGATTACGTAAACGTGTGTGAATAATAGGGATGTAACAATAACTGAAACATCATGATATTGTATCGTCAAAAGTCTCACAGTAATACCGTGGGCTGTCACAAGATATCGAATTACAAAATCCTTTGCTTAAATGCATGGTTTTATAGTAGTAACAGCTTATAAACATCAGGAACTACATATCCCATGATGCATTTCAGTGCAGACAAGATGAAGAAATATGTTTTTTACTTGAATTCTTGGGATTATGACAGAAATAATTCACACCAAAGTCTTGTCAAGGTATTTTAAAGCAAAAAAAGTGTTCTATCTTAATTAAATTACATCAGCCTCTCCAAAATATCGCAATAAATATCGTACCGTGAGATGCATATCGTGATAATATCGTACTAAGAGATTTGGATATCGTTACATCCCTAGTGAATGAAACAAAACAAAACACAACTCCGGGTACGTTTTTGAGAAGGTAACAACATTATAACACGGCTAAAAGCTCACAAGAGTCAAATTTGCGTAATATAAGACCTTTAATTCTGTGTAACGTGTAACTGGGGCTTTCGTATGTACTGAAGCTAAAGCTAACCAGATGTAGCTCTGTACTAGCTGCCGTGCCTCATGACTCGGCGAGGCTAGCACATGACTAATCTGACGGGCACCGGATTATTTTAAGTGAAAGATGAAGGGGGAACAATATGGCCGATGAGAGGGGACTAGGGTGAGTCAGCCCCCTCCTGATGCATTTGTCACAGAGGAAGTTTAACATCAGAAACTGGGGCATACGTAGAATAACTAAAGACTAAATATGTCCAAGGCTGTCTCCGCTATTGTTACGTGAATGAATCAGGCAAAAGAAAAAAAAATGTTTTGGAAATGTGAGCTATGTAAAAACACTGTCATTGCTGCTGTGAGTTCTCATTAGTGAACGCAAATGTAAGGTTTTGTAGTAAATGACAATAAAATAAATAAACTAAAAAGAAAAGGGTCAAGCCACCGGAGGATGCTCATGCTAAATTAAAAAAAACAAAAAAAAAAAAACAGAAATGGGTCAGAATCCCATATTTTAAGTATCCGGTGAATCAAATGTAGTGTTATTTGGGATGTAACGATATCCAAATCTCACGGTACGATATTATCACGATATGCATCTCACCGTACGATATTTTTCTGCGATATTTCAGAGAGGCTGATATAACTGTAGATTAGCTTTTAAAACACCTTGACAAGATTTTGGTGTGAATTATTACAGTCATAATCCCAAGAATCCAAGTAAAAAACATATTTCTTCATGTTGTCTGCACTGAAATGAATCATGGGAAATGTAGTTCCCCATGTTTACAAGCTGTTGCTACTATAAAACCATGCATTTAAGCAAAGGAACTTGTGATTCGATATACTGTGACAGCCTACAATATTACTGTGAGACTTCTGACGATACAATATCATGATATTTCGGTTATTGTTACATCCCTAAGTGTTATCAGTTATAAATGTATTAAAAAGTATACTTAGAGCTGCGATATGTAACTTTTTTAGTGGAGAATCTGCTCCCAGACCAGGTTACATGTCATATCTGTGGAGAGGCAACCCCAGCAACAACAACAAGAATGCATGTTTTTTGTGCAAAATAACATATTTAACAGTGTAAAACATTGCAGGTAAAGCAATAATATCTCAATTAGGCAAGCAGGTGACCAACTCAGAAAAGTTACACAGTGCAGTCCAAGCAGTCTGCAGTTTTATCTATGACGCAACAAAACTGGCATTTTTGTGTGCTCAGAGAAAATGGCTTTGGATTAATGGATAAATAAAACAAGCATGAAAGAAGCAAAAATACAACTTTGGGTATGTTTTTGATATGACGACAATATAATATGGTTTTAAAGGTAAAAATCATATATAACATTTACTTTTGTATTGTCAGTCGCTATGGCAACAGTGCTCATTTTTCATCATTCTGAAACCCATGGATATTCAGTGACACAACATTAGTACCTGTATGAAGCTGAACTCTCTCCAGTTGACTGTGTTGGCCACAGAGGGCAGTGACGTGACGGCGAGCAGAGACAGGAGCCCGATCGCCATTATCCCCACGGAAACGTACAGCTCCATCCTCCACACCTCCTCATCCACCCACGAGTCCTCTATGCCAGCTTTCACCTGGACATGGATGAACGGATGAATGAATAAATAAATAAATACATAAACAAATACAGTAAAGTTTACCGTATTGAACGTTTTTGACTTCTTCTCATAATATTTATACATTGTGATAGCCCTAATATAGTTGGATATAGTAAAAGGTGGTCTGGTTTAGTCCTGGTTTGGTCCTGGTTTGATCCTGGTTTAGATCTGGTTTAGACCTGGATTAGACCTGGATTAGACCTGGATTAGTTCTGGTTTAGCCCTGGTTTAGCCCTGGTTTAGCCGCGGTTCAGACGTGGTTTAGCCCTGGCTTAGCCGCGGTTCAGCCGTGGTTCATCCCCGGCTTAGCTGCGGTTCAGCCGCGGTTCAGCCCTGGCTTAGCTGCGGTTCAGCCCCAGTTGAGTGCCGGTTTAGTCCTGGTTCAGCCCTGGTTCAGCCCTAGTTTAATACTGGTTCAGTGTTGGTTTATCCCTGGTTTCATTCTGGTTTAGCCCAGGTTCAACTCTGGTTTAGTTCTGGTTTAGTCCTATTATGGTTTTGAACCAAGTTTTGGTTTAGTTTTGGGTTATATTTGCTACATATCCTGAATTAAATCTTTGTTTAGACCTGATTATATCCTGGTGTAGTCTCTATTTAGTCCTGGTTTAAGTTCTAATTCAGGTCCTGGTTTAGTCCTGGTTTAGTCTGCATTAAGCCCTGGTTTAGATTAAGTCCTTAGACCAGTACATCACTGGTTTAGTCCTGGTTTAGTTCTCATATTTACAAAAACATATGGTTACATTCAAATTTTGCTCTTGGCTATTTGGATCTGTATGTCTGCAAATTTTAGACTCTCAAAGTTCACATAAAACACTGACAACATAAGATAAACTAATGTCAAAACATATGCAACCATTTAAAAACATTACTCTTGAATTTGGCAGAAAGAAATGCACTAATCAAGCACAGACAGTATCCAGTACAGCTCTAACGTACCTGTTTAAAAGCCTGGTTTAGCATCGTGTAGCGTGCAGACTTCCTCATCGGTAAACACAGACTGTAGATCATGTGTAATGCAGCACAGAGAAAACTACACAACCCAAACTGCTTCCTCCGAATCAGCCATTTATCCAAAAAGTCCGGGAATCGCTTGTATTTCGTCCCCCACCTCAACTGCAGGAACGCCGCGCATAGACCTGGCACGTAGACGAGCGTAAGCATCACCAGCGCCACACAGGGCAGAGTCACATTCACCAACTCAATCGGCATTTTGTAGAAAGTGTATTTGTTAGACGTCAAGTAAGGATGCAAGACTTCTCGGACAAAGTTGTACAGGTAAAAAAATAGGAAAAGCGCGAAAGAGAGGAGCACCGGGATTTTCCATGACGGGAATAGATATAAAGGCATGTTTTCGATTTCCAAAGAGGCAGATAAAAGGCCCATGTCGACAGGGATGAAGCCCATTCTCCGGCACAGCTGAGAGACCGAAACTTTGGCCGCGCTACTGTCACTGCACAGAAAAACCTGCAAGAGAAAAGACAGGAATCAGTTTAGTATTTGTTTTTTGACTTACGTTATTGATAGGGCTGGGTATGATTAAGAAGTTGCCGATACGATACATATCTCGACACATAGGCCACGATACGATACATTTTTCGACACACTGCACTTTCGATTCATTAAGATTTGACACGGTTCAGTGAAAAACAAAGTCTAAATCATGGCTGTGACATTAAAAGTCTACAAAGTCCACTAAGTGTGCAAAGTTAATATAAAAAACCCTTTTCCTCAGTATATAAAGTTGCATGTATTTTTTTTCTGGTGGAGAGTGCGACATTTTCTTGACACAATGAAGATGCTATTGCTTTACCTGGAATGTTCCACAGTATGGCATTAAACGTATGAGACAAGAACTCGACGACACCATGCCAAGTTATAGGTCAGATCTGTGGAAAGGCAAGCTAACTCAAAGTAAGAAGGTTAGAGTTAGGGTTAAGGAACACTTTATTATTTTGAGGCAATAAAACACCTGCAATTTAATAAATGCAAGATAGATATGATTAATGCCATACTGCGGAACTGTGCTCTCATCTTGGAGAAATGACTTTTTGTATTTTTTACAACAAATTAAGTAAGTAACCAGGCCAAGCTACCGGTCAGATCTGTGGCGAGACAAGCCCTCTCACAGTAAGAATCCGTATTTTTTAAGGTGTTCTAGGTCAAAAAACAAAACAAAACAGCAACTTGGTTTCAACTTGCTGTTTCTAGGCACCATTTTCTGTATTTTTCACTATTTAATGAGACAAAATTGTTGTATTAATTGCAGCCCTGGCAACAGTGCTCAATTTTCTCACTCTGAAACCATGGATACAAATTCTACAACATATTTTTCTAACAAATTAAATAAGCATCCACTCTTTTATCCCATATACCTGTCGACTACCATCTCTGGGTCCGGTCTGTAGCGTCCAGGCGGAGATGGTGTTGAACCCTTTGACCACGTGGCTCTCGGGAAACATGGCGGCGAGCTGTTCGGCGTTTGAGGGTCCGATCTGACTGAGGTACAGCCCATTACTCACATCCACCAGGACCCTCCCGGCCAAAGCCTGCTTCAGCTCCACCAGAGACGAGTAATGCTCTGGGAATAAGGCCACGAAGAGTATGTCAGCCTGGCTCACGGCTTCCAGTTGGGACACCACCTAAACAAAACCAGAAACCGTTAAAGATATACATAAAGTTTTTTAAAGTGCTTTACAGAATAAGAAATACATTAAAATCACAATACAAACAAATCAGTGCATAAATAATCATCATCAAGTTTACATTAAAAGAGAAGAGTGTTGAATAAAAAACCTTTCAGTATATGCACAGTTAAAACAAACCATTGGATTTAATCACAGTCAAAGTAGAGGCCTGTCTCACATCTTTAGGAAGACTGTCCCAGATTTTAGCTGCATAAAACTGAAACTCTGAGCCCCCATATTTGGTCCTGACTCTGGGCACCAGCAGTAGGCCAGGACTAAACCAAGACTAAACCAGAACTGAACCAGGACTACATCAGGGCTAGAGCAAGAGACCAGTCCCTGAGGTCCACTAAGAGACGTACTTTGGTGCTAGGCCATGGCCACCTATTGTGCTTGTGTCTTGTAATTTGTCTTGTAATAGCTGTAATTTGTGACACCGGTGGATCATTTTGTTATTATTTGGATATTTTAAATCTCAATATTTGTCTAAAATGATTTATAAGAAGAAACAAGTTTGCGCAAACGTCATCACAACAAAAGAGTTGTGAAGTTGGTGGCACCTCCTATGGATAGCTACAGATCACACTAACAAGCTTTGTTTTTTTTGTTTTGTTTTTTTTATTCTTAAAAAAAATAATTTGTGATGCTGTCGAATCCTACATGTATCATATATAAAGAAAATAATATCAGAAAATGAAGTAAGTACATAGCCACAGGCGTGTTCCGGTGGTGCACAAAACACTCCAAATACAACTTCAGGTGCGTAAATGAGAAAGGGAAACAACTATAACATTTAGATTAAAAGCTCTGAAAAGTCTAGTGCATCATAGGCCCACTTTAAAGAGCCCATATCACAGTATTTTGAGGAGGTTGTGAAATGAGGTGTCTAACCTCATATGCACTTCAGTTTCCTGAGTTTATTGTTGTTTTTATGCTTGTTAAACATCATCTTCTAGGTTTTCAGGAACACTTCAAGGAAATACTGTGACTATACTGTGACTGTCATAAGACTGTTATAAAAGTTACGGCAGAATACGAGTAATAAAAATATAAAGTATGTGTCTATCTGTTGATAAATGTGCACTGTGCAACTTTTCTACTTGTCTTCATGTTGTGTCTGCTTGGAATGTTCCGCAGTATGCCATTAAACTTCATTTATGAGTGTTTTTATTGCTCAAAACTATCTAGAAAAACGCATCTTTTCACAGACTATACCTATAACATGTACTTCGTTTTAATGCCATACTGTGAATTATTCCAGGCAAAGCAATAACATCTCCATGGAGACAAGATGAAGATGGCATACCCCCTCAAGAAAGAAAAAAGTTACATGATGCATCTTTAAAGTGGCGCAACATTTTTCTGTCTAGAGGGAAATGGTTGTAATTAGGTTAGATTAAAAAAACACACACATAGACATTAATTGGAGCTTTCCTCAGTAGTTTCAGAATTATCTATATCTGAAGTAAATGCTTTGTGTTGAAATTTTAATTCTGTTGTCTACAAAAAATATTTATTGTCGATGGATTACTGAAAATGCTTTTGAGTCTTATGGAGGACTGAAACAAGATTAGGACATACCAACTACAAAAATCGCATCATACTGCAGAGACAATCACTATGTCCTTAAAGGTGCACTCTGTAACTTTCTGTCACCATGGAGATGTTGTTGCTTTGCCTGGAATTTTTCACAGTATGATATTAAACTGATCTATTTTCACGGAGAAGCACCAAGCCAATTTACAGGTCTGATTTGTGAAGAGGTGGGTCTTGTTTTAGTATAAAAAAACACTTATAACTAAATAAAAAGCAAGTTTAATGCCATACTTTGGTACATTCCAGGTAAAGCACATCTCCATGGACACAACCAGGAGCTGGATTCTTACCAGAAAAGTTACATAGTGCAACTTAACATTACATTAGTACGATAAATTATAATCTTAGCATCTTACATTATCATTTTAAAGTAGAACAGTTTAATATTTAGATAGAAGTTAGAATTTTACTGTTACCAAATGTAATTGTTCCAAAAGGGTCCCCCCGTCTGCAATATGGTCATTTTGAGTTGTAAACAGTTATTATCGCAGTGTTCAAAATAAAATCATTAGCGCCAAATAACTTTAACCTTTGTTTTCATCGAGGCATAATTTCATGTAATTATGGGTTTTCAGTTTTGCAATAAGGCACCAGACAATAGCAAACACTGGCTGGAAATTCAAGGTCCTATATTGCGCAAAATTGACTCTTCTGAGCTTTTAACCATTATAATGTTGTTACCTCATCGAAAACATACCTGGAGTTGAGTTTGCGTAATCCTTTATTAATAGTCTGTCTACATCTCCAAAGCTCAAAAATGCTCTGTTCCTCCTTGTGATGTCATGAAGATGTAGTTTTTCAGTTGACAGCTACTTTTTATCTTTTGTTCAGTAGAGATTCGCATTTCCAGGGCTGAATTTATCCAAGTGATTCTAGTGAAGGTGTGTGGAGTTTAAAAACGCAGTGGGGCACTTCCTGTATTACCACATGACATCACAAGGTGGAACGGAGTGTTTTTCTGTTTGAGAGGAGAACTCAGCCTCAAGGTTTGTGAGTTAAACATGTGTGAATGAAACAAAACACAACTCCAGGTCTGTTTGTGACGAGGAAACAACATTAAAACATAGATCAGAAAACAACGTAATATGGGCCCTTTAATGATAAGCTTGTCTATTACCTATTCATTAACACAAAATAAGCTTTTTAAACTTTTTCCCTTACACATGTACCTGCCAAAACAAGTATACTTAACATATTCACTATTGGGAAAAAAAATAACCAAATCTTATTGTTCTCACACAGCCAAGGCTTTGCTCAAATCCTTCAGTCGAACGACAACAGTAATTAGGCTAAGCAGAGGAAATCCACACAAACATAACGTAATTATTATCACAGGGAAGAGAAACAACAGGGGAAAACAGTTTAGAAGGTAAAAATGTATGATTTATACGGAAATATAGTCAATTAGAACAGTCAAGTGGAAGTGTTAAAAAGTATCGGGCAGCACAATATAACGCAATCAAAAGTGTATTGTGTAACTTTTCCGGTGGATCAGATCAGATGCTTTTCTACATGGAGGCATTGGCTTTGTCTGGAATGTTTCACAGTATGGCATTAAACCTTTCTATCTTTATTTAGACTAAGCCAGACCAAGAGTGGAGAGGCACAGTCAGAATGTCTGTATTTTTGAGCTATAAAACCACCTGTAATTGAGTAAATGTAAGGTAGAGCTGTTTAATGTCATACTGTGGAACTTTCCAGGCAGAGCAATGACATATCCGCGCAAACAAGCAGGTGACGGACGCCCAAACCAAAAAGTTACACACTGTGCCTTTGCCATTGCAGGTTAGAGGTCAAAAAATGAAATAATTCTAGTATAATTAGAATATTTGTGATTAAAACCCCCATACCTCAGCCTCATCAGGAAACAGAGCAGCCGATCGTTTTGGGTTACGGCTGCCCACCACCACCTGGTACCCGGCCGCGACCAGACGGCGGGCCAGAGAGCGAGAGAAGTCCCCTGTGCCCAAGATCCCGACCTGAGGAGACCCAGGTTCAGACTGAGCGGCCTCCAGGAGTCTGGCGCCCCGGTCACGGATCAGAGGTTTGTCCATGTCATCAGGCATGCTTAGCAACCAGTCTGCAGGGAGAGAGACACAAAAATTGAGTTATCTGGTGTTACTATGGAAAATATTGGTTTTACATGCATCTCTACAGTGAAATATCCAGAAGTTACCATGGTGACACAATGCACACATGCCAAATATATTTTAAGATAGTCTAAAAATTCAAGAAAAAAAACACTAAGTGGATTTAAACAGCACTTTTCCAGAAGCCTGTGATCAATACGAGCGTTTATGATCCTGTTTATGTGTTTGATTTTCATTTTTTAAAAATTTGAGACTTGTTTTAACAGCGCAAATCATCTCATCAGTTATAGTTCCAGCTAAAACAATTCTTTATCCATTAGGTTGTAGTGAAATAAAGCTCAGATTAACGTCTACGTATTCTAAGGTATTCTGACATTATAGTGATCCAGCATTTTATTAGGCTGTTCTGTTATTTTTTTGTTTACTTTTTTAATATTGTTTCCATATTTTTGGCATCCAACCACAGCTTTAACATACTGCTTTACTTAAAATAAAACAGATCTCTGGAAATATACATCTATTTACAACAACTAAACTGTTCCTAAATCGAAAGATTGCTTGTAGGAACTAAAATAAATCAGATTAACTGCCACAACCTGGACTAAACTTGGCATGAGAGAGTTAGAATAGTTGATTTTACAGCCTTAAGAAATTACTCAATACACAAAAAGATGTAGATATAACAAACTAAGTAAAGATGGTTAAAGCATTGTAGTAAATTTCATTACAATAGTAGTAATTTGCACCATATTACAGCTGTATACATAAAGAGTTTGTTAATTTAGTCCTTGCTCTCTTTGCAATAAGCCATTTGTGATAAGAAAGTTACAACAAAAGTATCTAAAAAGGCCAGTAACAGTAACAATAACAGAAAGTATTTAACCAAGTCCATCGTAATAAGATTTCATAGTCGTCCAAAAATATAACTAGGTTTTGTATCATCACGGGTCAATTGAGGACACCTTTATAGACGCTCTGCAAGAGGAGCTGAAACTATTATCCCAGTCTCAATTGACATGTCCTAGAATCGGCGTGTTAATAATATAAAGCATGACTGAAGAAGACAATAATAGAAAGCGCCTTGTTCGCCTTCTAAAAAGAGCGCTCCGTCTCGTCAAAACGAGCACAACACAGGCACGATTGCGCTTTAATTTCTGAGGCTTAGCTCGTAATTACGTGCTAAAACTGAAAATATTGAATGCCGAGTTTAAGAAACGACTGTCCTTATTTTGAAACGTCTCATGGTTAATTCATTTTTAGTATAGTTAGATTAAAATTGGTAATGACAAATTAAATTGGTAAAAAATATATATGAAGTTTGGGGATACAACGGTGCACAGCGTGATATCACTTCGCTAAGCGTCCTTGGCAACTTTTGTAAACTTTTAACTCAAGAAACAGCAGCTTTGAAAACACTAAAACGAGCTAAAACTAAATGCGATAACCACAGACGTTTAAATACATTGATAATTGATTATGTTTTACTCGTAATCAATAATAAAAGTAGTATTTAGTGGTACTCACCTCGCCGCCTGGCTCCTCGTTGTGCGTCGTTTCTTCCTGATAAATGACGCAAAACGTAAGCCCCGCCCAGACCACGCCCCCGAGTGTGAGCGCGAGATAAAAACACAAGCCCGTATTAAAAATAACCGCTAAAACTGTTGGCAAAGTGCGTGAAATGTTACACCAAAACACATGACAGCTACACAGCATTCATGACTAAGGTCTGATTCATTTAATGGAGCGTTTGGGGTTTAAAATTAAGAATAGCCAACATGAAAAACACAATATATCAGATACAGATAATTCCAAGTATATTTTCAACCTTTATCTTTGCACAGTTTATTATTATTATTTTTTTTTAAAGTTATGTAAGACAAGTTTTGTAGCACCAGATATTATTTCAAGCCTCTTAGTCAAAGGGTGCAAAGTAAGTAAGTAAAATACTCAAGTTACTGTAATTGAGCAGATTTTGACGTAGATGCTTCAGTATAATTCTAGCTTGTAATATAGGTCTACAAAAAATACAAAAAATTTAAACTCAATTTCGATACCAATTCGATACGATTAGACTAAATATTCAAAACCGATTCTCATACCACAATGATAATAAAATTACTCATTATTTAGACAGTAGAATGTAATTTTCAATATTAAATCATAGTACTTTTTTATATTACCATGTGGTTTTTTATCTCTGTAATTCCTCAGTTGTCCAGGTGTATGTCGCAGCTCCATATTCTAAAGCTATTTAAGAAAGACAGACCTTTTTAGTATTGATACGTGTTCAAATGAGTATCTAGTTTCAATACTAGTTTTAGTATCAGTTAGTATATTATTTTCGATACTTTTGGCAACTGTACATGTAATAATAATTAGGGCCTGTTTACACGAGAATGCTTGCGAATAAAAACAACAAAATATTTTATCAGAAGTGCCTTTTGTTTAGACGGTGATGGCGATTTTGGGGCTTAAAGATGCAAAAATCTGAAACCACCCTCCAGAGTGGAAAAGTTGATTGCACTCCGCCGTAGCGTTTCCATCTACACTGCCCAAGACGCAAAACTCTGGTCAGATCTGCTCACGTCGCGTACGCGTTTACGTCACATACATCACCACCTCGCCGCCTGGCATACATACCCAATCGAATTCCACACTTTTGCGTCACCGTATGTGCACAGATTTGCTCCTGAAGACGCTCGTCTAAACACAGAATAAAAAGTGAAGATGCCATGCCACTTCTGCGTCTTCTGTTCAGACCGTTATCAAATAAACATAGCCTTAGTTACCATGAAAATCTGCACCTTGTCGTCTATACTCTGGTTGCCTTTAGCTTTATACTTAAACCAAATGTTGAGCTGTAATTATTCTACTGTTGTACTGACATAATAAAGTATTTCAAATCTAATCTAATGTAACTTTACAGGTAGAAGGTCCAATAAATCACATCTCCATCGAGACAAGACCTTTCACCAGAAAAGTTACATAGTGCAACTTTAAGCTCACGCAACCAGCCTCTATCAATGAATCATATTTAGAAGTACTTGATGTATTTTTCCCCGTTTGTTGTTGTGTCACTGCTACCCTCGCCTACCAAAGCGTGTTAAAAAGAGGTCCGACCCCGGGCTAGACTCTGTCAACATGGCTTCATCATGGCTGCCTTTGCCACTTGCAAAAGGTTGAATCCCTCAGGCTTTCACCACACTGCATCACTGTCACACTCACATACAGTGGCCCCGGCTTCATCTGTTTACAGCACTCTGGGTTATACTAGTAGTCCTTGGCACAGATACCCAAATTTAAAAGCCTCTCCGGTTCATGGATATCACTGACTGGTGGCTGCCGGTGCAGTGACCCATACAGTGACTTTGTCCGATAGGCTGAAATTTTGAGAAGAGAGGATTGCCCAACTGTCCTAGAAAGAAATACATCGTTTTATCAAGCAGTGAAACAGGGCGCCCTATAAAACTTTTCTGGTAGAGGGTCCAAAACCTCCTTCTCTCCATTGAAATGTGTACCCAGGCTGGCACCACCTATAGTGCCTTCGCTCAATTTCATTTCTCTCCAGCGACTAGGTCAGGAATCAAAATACACTAGACAGTTTGTAAAAATCCCCGAAGTGCGAGTTTGGGCACCAACCAATCAACAAAGAGCCATATATTCTGTGTTGTCAACGATTCTCGAGATCAAGGATTTAAAGCCGGAATAAAGAGAATGTTTGGTTAATTTCAACAAGGAGAAAGACGTTACTGTTTTTCTTCCTACGGGATTTGGGAAAAGCTTAATATACCAGTTAGTCCCGTTAGCGACGCGTTACATAAGTGACAGCATTGGTTAAATGAGAAAAAAGTACCCACCTACCGTTGAGTGAACAAATTCTGACACTGCGAGGTCAGACGGTTTCCACAAAGAGCTGCGAAGCCGACAATTACTTGGACACCACTGAGCGTTCTGGCGCATTACGTAGGTCTTGACCAAATAGCAGCGATTGGTTGAATAAATTAAAAAATACCCACTTACCCTCGAGAGAACGAGTCCTAATGCTGCGAGGTCAGGCGGTTTCCACAATTAGAAACTGACTGATGAATCAGGCTAAGAATGTTCCACAGTATGGCATTAAACACATCTATTTCCATGCAGACAAGTAGATGGCAGCACTACGCCAAGTTTCAAGACTATGTAGAAGTAACTCATAGTAACAATGCATGTTTTTCAAGGCAAATTTAACGTGTATTTGAAAAAAAAATTGCTACATAGTAAGTTGAATGCCATATTGTGAAACATTACAGGCATATTAGCATCTCCATGGAGACGAGCAGGGGCAGGTTACATAGTGCACCTTTAAAATTGGCTTTTTGGTTTGAGGGATAGAGCATTTACTCCTTAACTATTCTATATATGAGTGAAGAGTGAAAGAAAAACATTCAATCTGTGAACTGTCTGTCCGGTGTAATTACCTTATATTTATTTGGTGCTAACATGCGATGGGGCTTCAATGTCAAAGCGCTACTCACAGTTAGCCGTGTTAGTTTGTGCTTTCGAGGGCCGGGCGGCGCGGGCGGGCGGGCGGGCGGATGTGGGCGGTGGGAGGAGTCCGTGGTGGTCCTCGTCCTCACTGGGCATTAGGGTCACACTCTGAGACAAGAGCTGATGGTGCAAACTGTCACCGCCATCTTGTTGTTTTTCCTGCAAAGCTTGAACGTAATAACTCGTGACAATTGAAGGAAAAAAAAAAAAAATCTTCTTAAAGCTGCACTATGTAACTTTTTGGCTGGGGCTGTGTCTCCTGTTTGTTTCAGTGGATATGTCATTGCTCTGCCTGGAATGTTTTTAAAGCTCTATTTTAGTTCCAAACATGAGAAAATTCATAAAGAAATGTATCTGATGTGTAATTTATGTCCAATAAATATAAATAAAAAGTGCACCAAAATGCAAAAAAGTTAACAAACATGTCGCAAATTCTAAAAAAAAATTAAAATAAAAAATACAATAATCAGAGTATGGATAAGTCATTGTTCTGCTTGGAATGTTCCACAGTGTGACATTAAACAGCTCTACTTTAGTTCCAAACTAGAGAAAATTCATAGAGAAATGTATTTGATGTGTAATTTATGTTCAATAAATAAAAATTTTTAAATATCTATTGGGTGCACTGATAAAATTGTGTTATAACAGCAAAGTGCAAAAAGCAAACTCTAAAATAAATTAATAAATTGTACAATAAATAAATACATACATACAGTAAGTACATATTTTTATGATTGAAGATGAAATTAAACCATATTTATAAATAAATAAATAAATAAATTAATTAAATCATATTTCACTGTCACTTTATACCTTAGATAATGTGTAATTAAATACGGTAAAAACAGAACTCAAAAAAATTAAAAAAAATTAAAAATCTTTAAAAAATGCAATAGTCAGAGTATGGATATGTCTGGAATATTCCGCATAATGACTTTAAACAGTTCTGTGTTACACTTAATAAATTACAGGTGGTTTTATAGCTCAAAAATACCTCGAAAAACATTCTGACTGTGAGCGTGGTCGCTTCTCCACAGATCTGATCTGTAACTTGGTTTAGTTCAGTCTCCACTCAGATAGAAAGGTTTAAGACCATAATGATACTGTGGAACATTCCAGACAAAGCAGTTTCCATGGAGACAAGGACATTTTGGACCAGAAAAGTTATATAGTTCACTTTTAATACAATGCAAAATCCTCTCTTCTTTTGCTCTCTGTAACTTAAAATCGTAAATAATCTGGCCTAATAACTGTGCTATCATGTGCATACACCTACCTGTAATTTGACCTCCATCGAGATAAAGAAGTTAAATGCAATACTGTGGAACATTTTAACCTGTAACTTGGTCTGGTTTGGTCTCCATGAAGATAGAAGGGTTTAATAGAGGTTCCAGACATTGCAAAGACTAACGTGAAGCACTTTGGTCACCTTGAGCGCTCTACACATAAAAAGTTTGATGGATTGAGTAACATTTGACGGAACCTCCATCAAAAAAGTTACACGATGCACCTTTAATATCATCAAAAGGAACTGCAGAGATGAAATCAAGGAGTTAGATAATGACTTCTGATTCATTTGGTGCTCCACTGGCTCCCAGCATGACACAGCAGTCTACAAACATCATTATATTACAACAGCAGCCATTGGGAAGAAGAAATAAAGCATAAAAGGCAGTGTACTGTGTGTGGCTCACGATGGCCCAAAGACATAGTTAACTGTACGAATCCAAAAAGGTCATTCCAACAGGGATGTTTCAAAGGGGAACTCAGGCAAAACGCAGGATGAGTAATATAAAAGGGTTATAACTAAGGCAATATTTGTGCCAGTCCTAAACAAAAAATATTCAAAGGGAAAGGTATTGGATGTGGAATTTATGGATGTTTTTTAGGATTAAAACAATTTATTTGACGCAAGGGTGAAATTGTAGTGTTACAACAGCAAAATACAAAAAGGGTAGCAAACAAAAAAAGTACATATTATCACTTTATCACTTATTAGGGGTGTGATGATATCCAAGTCTCACAATACAATATC